ATCGGGGTAATGCGCTTTGTCTCGATCGATGTGCATGCGTGTCTATTTTGCATATGTATGTCCCCAGAAAATTGACCAAAAATTGACCAAAAATATTTGAGTAAAAATTTAGCAAATGCCATGCCGTCATCAGTAAATGGGTGTTTACATAAATGTGGAGGCCAGTGTGTGACATTAGGGTCAGATTTTCAAAATAACCAAATTAAATTCAGCTTCACATGGTTTTGTAGTCTAGGGTCTATATTTTGTCAAAAACAAAACCATTTTTCTGTAACATGACCCTTTTTAGAGTAGCAACATGATAAACTAGCATATGGGCCACAAATTTCACCTGTAACAGTGACACCAAATTGTTAATTTCTTTTAGAGCTCTCACCAGGTTATTGTTCAGGTACGGTAAAGACATGTTGCTTTTTAAGCTTATTATATAAGTTTAAAAAAACTTTAACACTATCCTTGTTCAACATTTGTTAAAAATCAAATATCAAGTTTTAGGAAATTTGACATTATGATGATTACAAAAATGTAGCTCTCACTTGACATAAAATTATATTATTTTAAGACAAACACTCACTTGTTCTCTAAAAGCAAGTTTGACAACCAAAACTGCAACTATGAAGAGCAATGAAGATTTACAAACACCACTAGAAAGCATGTTATTGTAAGTAAAGCCTGGTGTTAACCAACATTTCACCTGTAACGCTGACACCAAATAGTCACTGTTACAGAGTGACAATCCTACAACTAACTAATAATAATAGTAATAAATGGTATCAAACCATTTAAACCTTTCTATTTAGTGATAAGCTTGATGGTTTCTACATCAGATACTTGTTTCTGAGACTGGAAGTTTAGTTTGTTATAATAATCATTTCACCTGTAACGCTGACACCAACACCAAAAACACTTTTATCACTTTTCTTCACTGTAGTTCTACTTTAACCTGTCCTATGCCAAAGTTTTCATTGTATTAAAAAACTTAGTCATTATTTTAGCTAAAAACTCAATCATCAATCAAACAGGTGCTTTTGCTTCATTGTTTCAGCTGAAAAGAGGTATTTCACCTGTAACGGAGTCAGTGTTGACACCAAACCTTTATTGCCTCTTATTTCAAATTCTAAGAGAAGGATTCAAAATGTAATGACATCTATATTCCAAGCCAATCTCCAGGATATATTTTTAGTTAAACTTGTTGACAAATACAGTTTGACAAATTCAGAGTGCAGCTGCAAAGTATCACACTGTAACGTTTTTTGATGACACCAAATTGATCTGCCAATATTTGAAATTGGTATATTTCTTGTACTTCTTTGAATTTCACTTTTGGTCTTCTTTAGTCTCTTTATTTAATAAAAGACTTCAATAATCACTTAAAATTTAGAGTAGTTGACAGTTTCTACAAATATTATAATCAATGTTAAAGTTCACTTTGTAACAGGATTTGCTGACACCAACTGTTACAGAGTGATTGTATTTTTAGCGGGCATGTCAAAATGATACAAAGTTGCCGATGCACGAACATTGTGTTTAATATTAAGTTTTGGGTTATCATCAATTTGGGTTATCATTTATTATATTTATTTTTTACATTTATTTACCCAGGGTATGCCCAAATAGTTCAAAACTGGTTTCCATTGGAGCCCTGCATACATTACAAATGAATGTATACACATGCAAAAACAGTAAAATAACAAAAAATACAACACAACGTGACAAAATTAATGGAAAGATTCCCATATCTGGCCATCACTAATTTTTCCTTTGAGTGACCTATCAGCCATCAAAAAGTGATAATATGTCCTAAAAGGTCAAAATTAGCAGGGAAAATATTGAAGTATTTACAGAGAACACACTAAGAAATTTTCAGACCAGTCTCATAGGGATTGTGCACTAGGGTGACAAGTGATGGCCAGATATGGGAATCTTTCCAAATAAATTAAATAAAAGCGCATGGAATTGTACCTCATTAATTTGGTCAGCTAACACTACATTTACCACGTCATGTTGAACATTAAGGCTTATGCTAGAGTTGCACCGAATATAGAATTTGCTTTTGATGCAAATATTTATTTTGGTGTTTGAAATTGGTCAGTAAGCTTTAAATGTTGCATCAGTCAAGGTTCAAGATAGGGAATTGGACAGTCAAATGCCTTGAATTGTGTAAGACAGTTTTGTCTTTTCAATGTACCATACATGTAGTTGACTTCGTATATCAAATGAGAATTCCAAAGGAATGGTCTTTGACAGCTCTCACCACAAAAATATGAGAGAACATTATAGTCTTTTTTATCGTTCCACAAACAGGTTTAGTTCACAATGTTATATCAGTTGTTACATGTGGACACACCAAACTAAAAGCTCAGTTGTCACACAAAGCAGAAAATGCAAATTAAAAGGGAAGAATAAACAATAAGCCAAAAAGGAAGGGATAAATTGAACAACCAGCAATTAACAAGGCGGGGAAACAATGATTTCCATTCATAGAAATTAAGGTGCACGACTTTTAATTATGATTCAAAGTCAATCCAAATCAGAGTGAGATTAGTAATCAAGTAAATGAATATTATACAAATATATACAATCATAAATTTAGTATCGGACAATTCTTATGCAAACGAATGAGTGAATGCCCGGTGAACTGAAGAAAACATAGGAGGCCTGGTTCTGGTTGCTCTGTTTATTGATGAGGGGAGGTGTGACGAACGTCATCCTGTCACACGTCCAACCTCGGGATTATGAGGTGCAGTGGGTGTCCGATGAGGGGGAGCTTGGCTGACTCGACGGAAGGGACTGCCGGACTTGGACTGGCGACGTCCAACCTCGGGATTATGAGGTGCAGTGGGTGTCCGATGAGGGGGAGCTTGGCTGACTTGACGGAAGGGACTGCCGGACTTGGACTGGCGACAAGGGGCTCATGTAACATGGATAGGTTGTCATACCCGTGCCAATAGTTCATGCTGTTTTGAAGAGCTTGAATCTTGAGCACGGTGAAGAGCCAAGGCGTGGAAGAAACGGCCACGCCCAAGAGGGTCCACTCCAGGTAGCTTGACTTGAATAGGAAGGAGCTGGTTCTTCAATGATGTCAGTGTTCCGCCTGCCCGTGATGGTATGGCCCGGATACATGGAATTTAAATAATTTAAAAAAGTTTTCTCCACAAGCCTTCCTGCTTGGGATGAGATTACGCATGGTCATCTGACATTTACTGAGCATTTACCATATTCAATTCAATTCAATTCAACAGAACATTTATTTCCATACCTTCAACAGTAATAATAACTCAAGAATAATACAATTATGTAAACACTTAATCTAATACTAAATGAATGTCACAGTAAAAAGACAGAGGATAAATACATATAGAGATAAATAGATAAATATAAATTGAACAACTGGTGCGCATTGGAAGTTATCCTGTCATACGTGTATTTCAGTAATTTCACCCTCTTGCCACTTAATGTGGACTAGACTACTGATGACAATTTTCATTTGATGGAGGAAGTCATGTAGTAAATTGCATCCACGGCCGCTTAAGATGCCAAAAAAGCAGTCAATAGGAAAAGGTCGTTTGGTACCACTCAATTGTGTGCATCATAAGTTTAATACCTGCACTTGATTGCAAACAAGATGTCAGGATTTGACTGACAGAGTTGGCAGGTGAAGTATTGCTGATTGAGTTGTCGATGATGGTCAAATTATGTCCGGATTTGCACTACTAAGTTAGTCAAGCATTGTTGTATAGCTGTTGCCGCTGTGATGTGCACACAGCTGTCAATGTGTTTTTTCTTCTTTTTTGGTTTATATGAAGTGGAGACATAATACAATGATCTTAGGGGGCAGTGTTTTGGAGAAACAGTAGGAAAATTGTGTAGCCACCCATTATCCAGACTCGAGTCCGAATCACCTCTCCCAAGTCTGAGTTGTGCAGGTCAAGTCCAAGTCCGAGTCACGAGTCACAAAGGTCGAGTCGGAATCCGAGTCACAAGTCACCATTAATTATTAAATATAGGAATTAAATTTTGAGGTATTGCTAAAACCTCACAGTTTAATTTAAATTTTTCCATTTTTTCACAGCTATTCTCTAATTTCTGAAAATACATGCATACCATGTCAAGTAAGGCAAGGCACAGTGTCTGGAAAGGATAATCTGGTACCGAACACTATTATAAAGCTTGCATTTACGCAATATCAAGTGTGGTACGTTTCGATACACTGATTACACAAGCCAGCCACAGACACGCGCTGTGTATATGTGCAGTACTAAGATGCATTTTTACCTGCACGGCACTGACTGTATGGCTTTCTCAGGAGAGGATTATCTTCAAAACAATTTGTAAAAAAATTCTTGGGAAAAAGACAAGTGATTTGTGGTAATTTTGGTCGAGTCCTGAGTCACACAGGTTGAGTCCGAGTCCAAGTCCGAGTCCACAGGTTCGAGTCCGAGTCATTTGTCATTGTGACTAGAGTCTGAGTCCGAGTCATGGAAAGTGGGACTCGAGTCAGACTCTGGTCTGACTGAGTCCAAGTCATACAAGTTTGCCATTATCTGTGACCAAAAATATCACCCCCTCTCCCAACTTGTATGTGAAGAAGTTTGCAACCCCTTGAGAAAAGATTTAAGTGGATTAATGGATGTAAACAAACATGCAAGACTTTCATTGTTGAATTAATCAGATTCACATGGATCAGTTATTTAGATGTTTAAATTGTCAGTATTTGAGTGGAGTGGTACTTTAAGAGGACAAGGAGATTTTTGTAACCCTCTACCCTTCCCCACAAACCTTTACAAAGTTTTGCTTGTGTTTACCATGGGAATTTTGGAGATGGGTGCTCAGGGCATTTAAATGGAATGAACCATGTTTAATTTAATTCCTTTGTTGTTTTATGGGCATGTTTAGTGGGAAAGATGAAGTTCATATGGGAACCTGCCCCTCCTCTCCTGTGCTGGATAAACCATTGTGTGCTTAGTAACACTTTCCTCATCATTCTCTCATGCATGCAGGCTGACCTGAGATTGCCCAGAGGAGTTGGAGAGAAACTTCTCCTACGAGTCATGGCCAGGGTGCTGGGCCTTGGGATGTCTGCATCTCTGCCTAAGCGGGCCATTCAGTTTGGTTCTCGCATTGCCAAGATGGAGAACCCAAAGGAGAAAGCATCCCATGTCTGCAACAGGCTGCTAGAGGGATGAAGTCATCAACAGACACTGTTCTCATTGGCTGTGGGTCCTGGGTGTTGGGATGTCTGGATCTCTGCCTAAGCGGGCCATTCAGTTTGGTTCTCACATTGCCAAGATGGAAAACGCAAAGGAGAAAGCATCCCATGTCTGCATGCAACAGGCTGCTGGAGGGATGAAGTCATCAGCAGACACTGTTCTCATTGGCTGTGGGTCCTGGGCGTTGGGATGTCTGCATCTCTGCCTAAGCAGGCCATTCAGTTTGGTTCTCACATTGCCAAGATGAAGAACCCAAAGGAGAAAGTATCCCATGTCTGCAACAGGCTGCTGGAGGGATGAAGTCATCAGCAGACACTGTTCTCATTGGCTGTGGGTCCTGGGCGTTGGGATGTCTGCATCTCTGCCTAAGCAGGCCATTCAGTTTGGTTCTCACATTGCCAAGATGAAGAACCCAAAGGAGAAAGTATCCCATGTCTGCAACAGGCTGCTGGAGGGATGAAGTCATCAACAGACACTGTTCTCATTGGCTGTGGGTCCTGGGCGTTGGGATGTCTGCATCTCTGCCTAAACAAGCCATTCAGTTTGGTTCTCACATTGCCAAGATGAAGAATCCAAAGGAGAAAGCATCCCATGTCTGCAACAGGCTGCTGGAGGGATGAAGTCATCAGCAGACACTGTTCTCATTGGCTGTGGGTCCTGGGTGTTGGGATGTCTGGATCTCTGCCTAAACAAGCCATTCAGTTTGGTTCTCACATTGCCAAGATGGAGAACCCAAAGGAGAAAGCATCCCATGTCAGCAACAGGCTGCTGGAGGAATGAAGTCATCAGCAGACAATGCTCTCATACCATAGCCAAATTACAGAACACGAAAAGGTATTAGTTTGTAACATCACATGTTGAGTAGCATTAGCACATACCTGTGCGATGAATGCATACATGTCCAATTGACTCTCGGTAATACCAGCTCGGTTAGGATGAGATTCCGGTTTAGATGAGCATACTTCGACAGTCCAGACCAAAGTGTCCAATTCATATGAGGGAAAAAAATGTTCAATACAAGCTTTAGTTGTTACCAAATTTTGGTTAAGACGAGGGCTTTTTATGGTCTGTTTGAGTGCAAGTGTATTGTTATCTATTTTACAAGAGGACAAACTTCCCCCCCCAAAAAAAAAAACCAAGAGAATTGGTCATAGGTCCACTGTTTCCTTGCGATTGTGTATTTCCATGCGTAATCAACTGTTTATTACACATTCATAAATACCTAAGACTACCCATTCCCATTGGTCGGGATCCGGTCATGTGGCCGGTCTTAAACGGATGATCAGGGGCAGATTCAGGAATTTTCGCAGGTTTTTTTTTTCTCCGGACACTTGGCCTAAAAAAATCAATAGGTGGGGGGCTGGGGGGCTGGGGGGCTGGGTTGGAGGCTCGTACCATATTTTCAATGGGGGCGCTGCTTAAATCCGATGATTATTAACATTATATCACAGAATAGTGTACATATACCCCCTAACCAAGCTGGCTCTGTCCATATTTTGTGCAAAGGTGTATATTATTACCAGTACAATTTGTTGGGTGTCAGAGCGGGGGGGGGGGGGGGGGGGGGGGGGGGGGGGGGGGGGGGTTCATGAATTTCTATTGGGAAAAAAAATTGACACAGCTGTTTGGTTTTTTTTTAAACCCCCCCCCCCCCCCCCCCCCCCCCCCCCCATCCGCTCCTGATGATAAAGACATGGCTGGCTGGTCATTAACACTTTTCCAGTGTCACATGAAATTTGGACATCTATGAAATACAGTGCCTTTTACCATTTTATTGGTAGAACGTTCACAATCCTCACGTAGGAATGCGCAATACTACCAGTGAGTCAGTATTTCATAGTCGTATATTCACAACCCACTCGCCACAGCTGCATCTGCAGGACATCGCACGCGCCAATCTCCATAAAAGAAGTTGTTTACATCTTACTCGCAAGCTGGACACTCCATTATACAGCTGCATATTTAAAAAAAAAAATGAAGTAGAATTGTTTTGATTGTTGGACCGACCGAAAAGGTATTGAATAAATATGTGTTTATAAATATGGGAATAAATATGTGCTTGGTCGTTATTAAACACTATGTTTAAGACTGGTTGAAGTCTGGATGCCGATAATTACCTTCGGCTTGGGTAATTATCAACATCCAGACTCCAACTGGTCTTAAACAGATTTGTTTACACCTCCCATGCACACATTTATTCCCATATTACGTGGTCCACTATGCAGTGAAAAGGTCCACTCCATGGTAACAATGACCCTTCCCTTGCACCAGGCTGGCTATGGGCCCTGTAAAGTGAAGTCTGTCTCAAGTCAATATGACACCTTAGGCCAGCACTTATCTGCAATAAAATACAACAACTGAGAATGTTTTATTCCCCTGGATGGGAAACGAGTCCATTGGAGGTTACTCCCAAATTAGTGCTGGTACCACGGGCGTCGCCAGGATTTTTTCGGGGGGGGGGGGGGGGGGCAAAGTACATTTTGCCCCCCAAATCCTTGTACTTTCTCTAGCATATTTGCAATTTATCATTTTTTTCCAAGGGTGGGCGAGGGGGGGGGACAAAATGTGTATTAAATTAAAAGCAAATATGACTTAACCCCTCTTTTTCTTTTCTTTTTTTTCTTCTTTTTATTTCTCCCTTTTTTGCTTTCTGGGGGTTGGGGGCCTTCCCCCCCCCCCCTCCTCGCGACGCCCATGGCTGGTACTCATTCATACTGTGGGTGGAGAGAGGCAATGGGGGTGGGTTGGCTCACCTAAAGACATAATAATCATAGAGGCCAAACAGCTGGATACAAATTCCTGTCCCTCTGATTACGAGTCACAAATCCTCACCACTACCCACAAGGGGGGGGGGGGGGGCGGCGCTGTTTTTGATGGGAAGTTTCCATTAATCTAATTCCAATATTAATGCTACACCTTGCACCACATATTTACGAATCACGCAGCGGAATATTAAGTGTGTACACCTTTTTTAACACAAATTCTTATTTTTCATAAATGCACTTTATTTGTACTTGTGTACTATATAAACATCAAGAGAATGTTACATTTTGCTATAGTATGAGAAACATAAAGTAATGGAATCACGTATAGAAAGGAGTCTTTTTCTAAAAGTCTTTGTCCCGAACTGTATCTACAAATGATTTTTTTTTTCCGGGGATGGGGGATATTATTGAACTTTTTTAATATATAGGTTTAATTGGAATATTGATTTCAAAGCAACATCTATTCCCACTTAACATGACTGGAGTCCAAAACAAAGTATGCAGATATTATAATAAAACACTTTGCAAAATAGGGTTCATCCCTAATTTTGTACAGAAATAATGACAGTCAAGGTCTGAGTTTTACATTACTGCTTCGGTTATTGGCATTACACATCTATAGCCATAGATGAAACATGCAAATTGGACACATCAATGTCCAAAGCAGAAGCAGTATTAAATACTGATAAGGCGCCGCCTCGCCGCTTCGCCAGTCAGGCGGCGTCTGGCCCTCTATATAGCACATTCACTGTACGTGATTCAGTAAGACGATGATGAATTTTGTAGAAAGGTAATAAACAAATGTCAAATCCACAACAAAGCTGTAAGGCTGTCAGTGTTTTGTCATTGTAACTCATCAAGGACCAAACATTTTCTTTTATTTTCCGGATCATCGCAACACAGGGGGACTGATGAGGCCCTTTACTGCAAATACCAATTCGAATTCGTCTATTCTATATAATCAAATGATTGATAGGTTTTCCCGGCCTATTTTGCAAAAATATCATTCAAATTCATTTTGTCACGGAGGGTGGTCGATTTGAAGCGAATTACCTCTCTGCTGTCAATCCCGTGGTTCGTGTTGGTTTTTAGACGTTCAAATTCCTTGTCAGACCTGACATTTTCATGTTTAAGACATCCTAACTTAACGCTATGTCGTTCGGTTTAAAGGATAGTAGTCTACACTCAACCAATAAAGAAATCCCCCCGCCCTTAATACTTTTTTGTCTAACTCAAAAACTACTGGGTACATCTTGCTCAAATCACGACTGATCAGTACAGAAATTCCTTAGCAATCCAGTTACACTCTTGTATACGTGCAAGGTGAGTGTGAACCACAAAATGCACGTATACAAAAGTGCAACTGTTTTGGTATCATTTGTCATAAATTGCATTAATTCGTACACATTATCTACGTTTTGGGCCAAATAAAGAGTATGGCTGGATTGCTAAGGAATTTCTGTACTGATTAGTCGTTATTTGAGCGACAGGTGCTCATTAGTTTTTGAGTTAGACAAAAAAGTATTGGAAGGGGGACTTTCTTTTTTTGGTTGAGTGTATTTGGTTTGAGTTATTTGCATAAGAATCTTTCGTTTTCATCTCCGCGCATTCTATTTTGTACCGTCTGCGTTCAAACTAATAGGAAACGAAGGCAAGATGAGATGTTTAAAAAAAATTTTTTTTGTACTGTTCGTATATCCTTTTTTTGTTTTATTCTAGTTTCTGTTACATGTTCAAAGTATCTGTTATCTGTCTTTAATCTAGAGGTAGAAATGTAGTGATGCGAGCAAATTAAACATGACACATAAAAGTCGGTATATAAACAATAAACTTAGGCAACGTTAAACTTTGGAGATCCTTTGCCCTCTTTTTATCGTGTTCACAGACATGTATATTTTTGTGATATGTTCTAAATTGTTATCTTTTGCTCTTTTATCTTCAATATTTTTAAATAATATGGGTTTTCTTACTAGTATCTCTAACTTTTTTCTCCATCTTAAACATGCTTCATTTCATTAACTTCACCAGATCACCTTTCTTTTTATGCAAAAAAGTGATCAATATGGTTATATTGTGGTTGCTGCTTTGTGGCCAGTCTGAGTATCACTCGTTATCCACGGAGCCAATCTCCTGTATAACGTCTGATATGTCTAGACATGCAGATATATGCAAGCTGCGCGCCAGCCAATCGGAGTCGATTTTACTCAGTCGTGACGTCATTTCATTCCTAAATCATCAGGACTAAATGGTTTGATTGGTCAATTCGAATGCAGTGTTTTGTAATACAACAACAGCCGAGCGCGATATCGCGTAACATGATGCAGAGCGCGTGACACATTTTTATCCATTGTCTATGACGCGCAACGGGTGAATGACCGAAGACCCGATGTAGAAAGCGTTCACTGATTGGTCAAAATCGAGGAGGTCAAGACGTGGGGTCTTGCCTAATTAATCAGCAAATCTGTTCACGCGTAACAGACCACGGCATTCGTCGTGGTCTATTCACGGATCCTACACACAAGGATTAATGAGTCGGCCCAACTCCTGGTTAGACGCGTGATAACGGCCTGTACCGGTGGCAAATACCATGAATACTTTTCAACAAAGACCACTGCGCGCGGTGGCTTTCAGATTTGCAAGGCTCTTCGCCCGATCTGGCCTCGAAGTCTGTCAAGCCAGCGAATTATATTTTTGAATATTCATGAGTCTGCGTTTTTGGTCTTTATTATTGAATTCTGATAAGTGATAACTACATGACCATGGTAATGTCGAGCACAATATCTTTAGCTTTAAGATGAACAATGAAATGTCGCTTTTGTTCATCGGTTCGGCATCCTATCTCTCTAAAACTTTTTAATAAAAGCCTAATTACAAACGAAATTTGGGTACACAGTGTTCTCGAAATTTGACGTTTATTTCCCGGGTAAATACTTCATCTATGACGACAAAAACTGCACAGTACCATCTGTTATATCCTGAAGTATTTATTTTTAAAATAATTTGGAACAATTATATCTTAAATAAGAAGTAGTTTTACTTACAGTTTTATTAATATTTCCGTTTTAGATGTCGTGCAAAACCCAACACAATGGCACATCTGGACAATTCGCGATTATGCGCCAACGGGTATTAATGCCCGTTATCACGCGTCTAACCAATTAAGGCAAGTCCACTGAGTGCATTTTGTGCTAGAGCTCAGAACAGTCGTTAATCCTGGTGTCTAGGACCCGTGGTCTATTACATAGACTACTTTGTGGCCGAATCTTGTCGGAAACAGTTTTTTATGTATCTTCAAATTGGAACAAAGACATTTTTATTGAATTCTGACGAAAAGATTAATTATATGAACCAGTTTCGAATTCCTTTGCTCACATTAATTTCACAAATGTATGCTTAATAACGAATTCGAATGACCACGGTGAACGACGGTGAATTTGAATGACCCAATATGACATTTTAATTTAAATGAATTATTTTTGAAATTAGATTTTAATTGAACGATCTACTTAGCTAATTGAATAATGATCTAAACGTGCAACCAAATTCGTGCGAAAATGGGTGATTCGTCACCAATTTGGCTGCCAAATCTATTAAATCGACCCGGAAAACCTATATTATGAACAAATGCCATCAAAGTATATATATTTCTACGTAATCTACGACGATCCACAAGCCTGCAAATTGCCCTGTCTGTCGTGTTAAATTATTCCATGTACACCCAAATTCAAAGGTGTTAACATTAACACACGTGTATTTTATGTGTAATCACTCAAAAACGATAACATAAAAAACACAAAACTGTGGGCCTCTGAAAAGAAAATGGATCAAATTTAATGAGGTGACTGTCTTTTGGATTTTGTTCTCAAAGTGGGAAAATAAAGTCACTACATGTATTTTACCATTTATAGGATCAATAATTGATGTAGCGCTTTTTAACAGCTTGAACAAAAGTTTCGGTTTGTTGCGAAATGTGTTACTTCCCCAGCTGGTCAGTTAAAGGGAAGATACAACATTTGCAAACATCACAAAACGAAATGATCAAATTATCATGAAATACCTCACTGGATTGTTAGGGAATGACAGTCTAAAGCATCCTGTAAAATCGTGGCTCCTAGTGTACTATCATTCTCAAGAAAAATGGTATTTTTCCAACGCTGGTCGGCCGACCAGCGTTGGAAAAAAAACTGGCTTTTTTTCAAAACCTGCTTCTAATTTTTCATAATTAGTTATTCATTGTTTTCTGTGCAATTGATTGCACACCTGTGAAGGGGTACAAGCCTGCTAGACTGATTATCTGACTTAAAATTCCCAAAAGTCTATAAATTGCTCCGTTTCATCTTAAGTGGGGTCGGGGAACCAGACTACAAGAACATGATTGGTTTTCTTGGTTTTTCCAACATCTACAAGCCCAAAACGCGAAACAAGTCATTTTAACAATATTTGCTCTATGATACTAATCCTCCAAACCCATTTATTTCTGAAAATTGCAGCAAAAGCAAATGTTGTACATTCCCTTTAAGGAACTCACAGCCTTCAATTTCTTTTAAAAAAACTACATGCAACTATTGCTACATTTCTCAACCCGCAGAAATACTAACTACAGTGGCTTTACCTGTTGGAGAAATCGTCGTTAGTGGTATAGGCCTACGCACTTGGAATGCATGACCCGTACTTTAAGAGAATGCATGACCCGTACAGAATGCATTTTATTACTCGGACATGAAAGACTGCTGCATGCACACTAGAAGGCTTACCATTCGGTAATTAATCAAATACATATTAATATGGATGTTTGGTGCAATACAAAGCTATTCACTTATTGAATTGACTGAGCGTTGCAGACTTCCAATAGGCCTATACAATTTTTCTTCATTAAATAAACATACAAATTGAAAATTCGTCTGGAGAAACAAAACCGAATTTTTTTGAAGAGATATGTAACAAAAGAAGTCAATCAAAAATGCGTGACGTGAACTACAAAACGAAACCACACGTTACTAAACACGTATAATTATAAATTTGAATACACGTTGAATTAATTATATTCAAACAAAATACAATTAAAGTAAAGGTTTTCCCGGCTATTTTAAAACGTGTATCATTCGAATTAACCATTTCTAATATTCAAATTCGTCCATCAACATCGATTTAGTGCACTACCAATGTTTAATTTCGTCTTATGTGAGACAATTATTCAGTTCAAGCAAATTCAAACAATTAGCACACGTTTTCGTCCCGGAGTATTCGATTTCGACTCGTCTGCGCCAAACCTTGTCATTCAAAATCAAATTCGTCTAATTGATTTATATAAGACGAATTCGATCTCTGAATGCTGCAATTCGGCAACAGCTTAGACGAATTTGATCTGTAATGACGAATATTCTCGACCCTGTGACTAAACCGTGTGACCAAATTTTAAAGATGATTTGTAAATGACTAAATTGGTTTTGTTAAAAGCGTGTGACATTTTGTCGTGGATGAAATTGAATGATAGAGTTGGTGAATTTGAATGAGAAATCTTTCAAAATAGCCAGGAAAACTTATACAATGTCACAAAATTCTACCGCAAAACACTTGATATCAAACTAATTACACATCTGGCAGAAAATTTGAATATATATATATATTTTTTGTTCCTAGCAAATTACGAGTTTGTTTTGTCAACCTCAACAACAGCCAGTACTTTTTGTTATAACTTTTTTCCTCGCCTTTTCTATCGGTTGCTAAGTGTGTTAATTACCTTGAGATAATAGATAAATTAATGGATTATATTGACACCTTTCTGTTAACGGAGGTGCCAAGTTTGTACTTTGAGATTGTGGCAAATTGATTAAAAACACACCTCTCATGGTTTTACAAGCACACGGCAGATTTTTTTCATGCAGGTCGACAGTTCAGCGAAAAGTGTACCTAATTTTACGTACATGCATAGCTCCCAAAAAACCCTTAGAATTCAGCATGTCGCACGGTCACGTTAACGGTCTAACATTGACAAGAAATACATGTCGTCTATATATCTTGCGAGCAGTTTAAATGGTATCAGATATAGCACTGCGATTTGGATGATTTTTGAATGCCTTTGAACCCATAAACCGTCTGTATTTCTTAGCCCATTGTCAAATGCTACTTTATATTAATCTTATTGTATATCAACCCGCACATTTTCCTACCAATCCAATTGAGTGGGTGTGCATTTACGGGTATTACGGGAATCGGGTGTCCGCTTGAGAAAAAAAAAACACCCGGTACCCGTTAAAGAAATCCAACCCCAAAATTTAAATCTCGGAAGTTGCTGTGCAGATTATTCATCGATTTCGAGCTCGAATACTTTGCCATTTCCCTGCGACATTGTCTCTGTCTCACAAACATATTTTGAAAACTATACACAACTTCTAGTGGTTTTAAAAATGATCAATTTGGAAACATCTAGAATGAAACATTTTATGCTGTTGCTATTTTATCAAGACTTGATCTAAGTAGCAAGACAAACATAAGACGGTTCGATCAGCGGTGTAACGAGACAGTAAATCGTGTTTTTTCCTCACTTTTTTGTTCACAAAGTTGATCAGAGGATAGACCGGGCTCCAACGCGAAACATTAATTCGCGGTGAAATGTGGTCAAAATAATTTCGCAGTTTAAATAAATGTGCTTGCTGCGGCTTCAGAAATTCGCATTCGCTTTCGCACAGAGTATATATGAACCGGCCCAAAAACCGTTTTTCGTTTCAGACGCCAAACTAAACTTATTCCGAAGATTACAAAAAAGTTGGACATTTTGAAACAACCAGGAGCGATTACACGTGAAAGATCGACTGTTGTAGTCGGTCGAAACACTCCAGACTCAAGCCATTGGGAATAAGTATATACATCAAATTCACCTGCCGCTATAAACCAAATTATATTTGGATCGACTTCGGGATGACGCTGGTTCGGGCAACCTTATTCACGAGGAAGCCATTTTGTCGTGTTCCCTGAATGTGTTTCATTAATTGTGAACTGTTGAATGGGATGGTGCCAGACTATTTATTCATTCTAGCCTTACTTTCATTTTTTTAACGTGGCTTTAAACATTACGGTATGTTTAATCACAAATGCATCAGAGCAGACTTGTATTAATTTGTAACGTCATTGCTTTCATTTCTCTACACAAGTTCCAAAAAATGAAGATTTTACCTCACTCTCAATCCAATATGGCCGACTCGTGAATAAGGCCCATTTTGGCTGAGTACCAGCAGAATATTCAAGAATATTAGTTTCAAAAACATTCTTGACCTTTCTCATTTATGTCTTAACAACAAGTGCCGTTTTGCATGGACGGCCATCAGTTGCATAAATTTTAATTATGGTCGGCAAACAGTTTTCGGCCACAGTGATACGCATTTCGTGTAGGCCTATAAGGGAATTCCTTGTGTCGCTTGTTGGCAGTGTCTTTTGGGTTGCACTGCGTATTAATTATATCGTACAACATAACACACGGGTATAGGCCTACATGAATTTTAAAAAAGAACTGTGTGAGATATAGGCCTATAGGCCTACACGTAGTTCTGTTTCGCACAGACTGTCGGCCATAGTTTCACTCTGTCAACTACTGGTTGGCAAACACTTCAACCTCGACAAAGCAAAAGAGCGGCTGTTATTCGTCCATTTTAAGCTTACAATCTGCTTAAAAATCGTAACATTATAGCTGAAATTGAAAACGGCTAAAACAGACACTAAACGCTACTGATGTTTTAAGTGCTCATACAAATTCAAGTGCGGATGTGTATTATAAACACTGTCTTGTTTAACAAACTCTAATTCAATATACATGTACATGTACCAATAAATCCCTCCCGTGCAACGTTTTTATCAATACTGAAATAACATAGTTGTGTGAGGGTCCAACAAGAAATACTAACATTCGAAAGTGCTCATCATTGCACGAAGAAGGGTGCATGGGAAAGGGTTGTATCTTGGGCTCTTGTTGTATGCGGTAAGTAGTTTCAGAAAATGCCCACTGTGGTGTGTCTATTTTGTAGACTTAGATCGACACCGGTAACATGAGAGTATCTTGAAGACGGTGTGTCGAATGGCCGGTTGAGCAGCGGCGTAGCAGAATGGATTGATGGCACTCTGACACAGAGAGAAGGCGACGACGGCCGCGTTGTAGTAGGCCGGCAGTGGGGGAAAGCGTCGGGGTGCATCTGGCAGATACTGGTGATGGGTACGATAATGCCGTAAGGTAGCCAAGAAATGGCATAGGATGCTACCACTAGGCTGAGGGTTAGCGTGGCTTTCTTGTTATCCGCGTGGGTCTTTCCAGTGCGTCTCAGGGCGATGTTTTTCTGTGGTATCGGTGATGACTCTACTTGGGCGGGAGATGTTGAGACAGTTGGAGGAGCAGTGATAGGAGTTTCACCCATTGCTCTCGTCTTCGATGTTTCCTCGTCATCTCTCCGATTCTGAGACTCTGTTTGATATGCAGACCCGGGTAGGCTTGTGTCGACAGGGATGTTATTCTCACAATCACGTCGGGCATTGGATCCGCCGTTCTTCTCGCAGAATGTGAGCTGGACCGTCTTCACCGATATGGTGGGAATCTCCTGGTGTGAATGTCCAATCCCTGATACGGTGAACTTGGTGCTCGTCTCTTCTTCTTGTGATGAATTGTCATTTTTGGCAGTCTTTTTGACCATTGACCCCTTTCCTTTGCCACCTCTAACAGCGTGGATAGTCTGGTACACCCTGCAGTACATGATCATGATTGCCGGGTATGGGATCCACATGACCACGCCAATAGCCACTCCCGTGGAATAGTGGTTAGTGTTGTACATGGCGGTGCAAAAGTTATGGGGAAGGGCGTCCTCACCTTCCACCACACCCCATACGAAGATGAAGGACAACCAGACAAAAATGGCCACGCCCCAGGCCATCAGGATCTTTAGCCCCGCCCCTTTAGTGGTACGACTCTGAAGGTGAGACAATGGGTGCCTGATGGCCTGGTAACGGTCGTTACAGATGATTAAAATGGTCACGATTGAAGCAGTGAAGAAAGTGTGCTCGAGTGTCTTCACAAAGTGGCAAAAGGTGTGACCGAAGGGCCAGCCGTGTCCCATAAGTTTCATGCTCTCCTCTAGAATCGTGAGGGGCATATTGATGGTCCCAACGCACAAATCGGCCACGCACAGATTGATGATGAATAAGTTACCGTACGTGCGCAGTTTCTTCTCCAAGAGGAATGCAGTGAGAACGAGAAGATTGCAGGGCACGGCGACACACATCAAGACACCGCAAACAATCAGCAGGAGCCAGGAAGAGATGCGCTCGCTGTCGGCGAAGTAGTCGTCCGTGGCGTGGTCGCTACCATTACCCATCGCCATATCCCCCATGCCATGATGACCTAATGCTTGATGAAGCGACATCTTGATCTACAACTCGGTTTAGAAACGTGGTACAATAGTCTAAAATTTGTTTTAAAATGGTGTATTAACGTAAGCAAGGTTGGTGTTCCTGACCTGAGCTGGTTTGATTTGTTCGTTTTCAGACTCACGGTGTTCACAATCTATGGGTTATTTAATAATAGGGTATAGTCTACACTCGCATGTCTTCTTGTGATCATGAGTTCGACTGAGGTCTCTACTAATAGCACGGTCAATATTGGTCACAAAAAGAACCGCAGAAAGAGTCGAGTGGGGAGAGGTGTTGTCGAAGTCCTTTCAGCGATGACACAGAGTGCGTGAGTTGTGAGCAGAGCACGAGACATGCATGTAAGCTCAAACCGTGCCCGCACACTGTCTTCGCTAGCCAATCACTGTGTGAAGAAACTGTCAATTGACAACGCAATAGACGGTTTCACGGGCGCCGAGTGCCCACCGACTCTTGATGTAAATACATTCAGGGAGACAACTGCATCACGATCAATTTTCAAGTTGAAGTTATCGCCGTTTTCAGGTACAGCGCCTCACTATGCGGACTGATGATTTCCTCCATACGTTTCGAAGGTTTGAGGAAAAGTCACGAATTATGCTTCTTATCCACACATCATCTCTGACGTCAAAAAGTCACTGGACAGAAAGACTTTGCCGATTAAGTGGAAACATTCCTTCTCTGCAACGGAAGATCTTGGTTGCATGGACAATGTACCAAGACTGGAGGATTACAGCTCAATCGCATTCTATTGTGTCATCTCGCGAAATAGTTTGCGTCTTAAGTACAATATGCGTACGACCATTAATACGAATACAATTACGAAACCAGTTTGAACACAGATAAGTGGTTTTTCATTGTATCATGAATTATGCAAAAATAATACTGGGTCCAGGACGTTGTTTGTGCAGGTATCCGGTGCGTGACTTCGTCATACACGCGCACGCACCACTGATTACAACTTATACAAGCGCCGATTGGCTAAACACTCAAGTTGCGCTAACTACGGATCTTCGCCAACTTCCGGTTCCATTTTGTGCAATGCTATATAGACCGTGTGCAGTACGCATGGTAAAGTTAAGATGACGTCACATTTACGAACCTCGCGAAACCCCCTTCAATGGAGAAACCAGTGTGCATGTGACTGCCACGTGACGATTAGATAATGAACAACAGCTCGCACAATGCTTTCGCCATTTCATAATGCCGTGCGCGCGGTTCAGGGAAGTCAGAAATAGTCATCTGAATTCATCTTCGTTTTAATAACTGAAACAAATATTTTCAACACAGGGGCGTAGCACGGTCATTTTTATTGGGGGGGGGGGGTAATTTTTTTTGAAAAGGGCACTTGCACAGTATCCGTTGTGAAATGTAGACAGGTTTTTTCTCCGGACACTTGGCCTCCATAAAATCAAAAAGCGGGGGGGGGGGGGGCTGGTACAAAACCGACAATTATGCACACAAAGGGCCAATATATGGTGCTTTTACGGGCGATACATGTGCAAAATTCTGAAAAAGGCGCCCAAAACGGCAGATGCCACAAAAAAGGGCACCACTTCTTTTTTGAAAAGGGCACTTGTTCAGAAAAAAAAGGCACTTCGTAAAAAAAGGGCTCTCTTTACAAATTATTGGGGGGAGGGGGTAAGCCCGTTGAAAAAAGGGCATTTGAATGGAAAAAGGCAGTCTTTACAAAATATTGGGGGGGGGGGGGAAATACCCCCTTATAAGTTATCCCCCCCCCCCCCCCCCCCCCGCTGGCTACGCCTATGCAACAGACACTTCCTTGACAAGCAGGGAATTTCAGATTTGTGGGGGGGGGGGGAGGCACGTGACACTGAGAAGCTCTATACCATAGCACGTACAGAGCGATGGCTGCAAGAATTAGAGAATTAGCCTACCTACATCTTACTAAGTTCTATTTTGTGTGACTTCATCTTGCTTATTTCTATTTTGTGTGACTGTGGCCTGGTTTGGAGTTAGCCTAAATTTCAGCGTTAATAGCTGCTTAGAGATTTCTTCGACATTTTGTTGCCTGTTTCCACAACATGCTAGAATATGTGTTTATAATTGTATTTAATATGTTCAGGGCTCCTTATTGTGGAGTTAAATCCACGCCCGACAAGTTTGACCGGGTCCGCCCATAAACCATATGTAGAGAAAGTACAATGATTTTTGGAAATAATGCGATTTGACCCCTCTATAGAAACAATCCTGGCGACGCCCATGGATCCGCCCATTGACTGGGACCGCTCAGATATATCAGACCAAGTACTAGACTCGTTCCCTGTCCCTCCATTGTCCTTCGGACTTCGAATATGGGAACAAATAGCCAGCAGAGAACCCCGAATGCATCAGGATTTCCTCCTAATGTATAGGTCTGAATCCCGCGTCAAATTCAAAATCACATTACGGTAATGTTTGCGCGGAACCACCCTATTTCAGAATGGCCATGATTGTGACATTTCTGTGGCGATGAGCTTGGACTTTCGTTGAATTCGAAAGTGTCTCTTGTAACTATCAATAAAGAGAGGGGCTTTACTTTTCAGTATTTGAAACCTATGCAGTTAAAATGCTTGAAAGTTAATGCCTTCATGCACGGAGACACTGCAGTGGCGCACCCAAGGGGGGGGGGCCTCGGGGGCTTGAGCCCCCCCCCCCCCAAGAGGTTGTCAATTTTTTTTTTTTTTGGTAATTTTTTTTTTAGTTCCACGATTTGACCTTGGTGATATGTATGTGGACTATTTTCGAGTAGTATAATAGGAGTGTAAGTGGCGCCACCAACGTCAAAATAGTCCGTTCCCCCCCCCCCCTCCCCCCCCCCAAAAAAAATGTCTGCGGCCAAAAATTGTAGGCAGTTTATTTTGAAAAAAATTATAACTTCTAAAATATTTCAAATTTTTGTTTGAGCCCCTTCCAAAACCAAATCCTGGGTGCACCACTGAGGCACTGGCCATATTGCGTACGGTTTGTGATAAGACAATGAAGTAAGATTTGAGGCTTTGCATGATGGAGATGCTAATGAATGAAAGGTTTGAGGAAACACCATGTGAGAAAGAGAGTGGTTCTGAAAAGAACGAGAGGTATAAACTCGACGTTCCGGTCAGTATGCTCTGACCGTCTTCAAGAGAGTCTCCTTGAGAGTCCCACTGACCGTCTTCAGGAGAGTCCCACTCGGATAAACACATGAGTTTTTCGAAGTTATGTTTATAATCTTACCCCTTCCAGCATGCAATATTACACTAAGTATTATAAACACAATGGGAAAGCGATGATTGTTTTGGGGGGACCGGATGTAATAATTCACAATAAACGTTAAAAACACGTAATTCACATTGGAAGTAATATCACCAAGTATACGTCATAAATCCATAGGTCTACTCGGTATTGCTGTATCGAATCAGAAAACAGGAGGCAAGTTTCCTCCATGTTGAAAGTTAGACCCTGGTTAAAAGTAGTCCCTGGCAACGAAGTTGTACTATGAAATTTGCGTCGGGAAGATGTGAATTTGAAATTGTTCACTGACCTTCACCAACGCATTTTTAGAAACTCACATTCCTCAATGATGTGAGAGGGCTTGGAAGAATTGTTTCCACAATGTTACTCGGGAAGGACAATACCTAATATTAAATGTGCATCTCCCCGACACAAATTCCATCCTATTGTAGCTACAGCTGCGTGAATGAATGAAACTACAGTCACGGAAAATGTTATTGGACCATCGGTACCGGTGATACATGAAATTTGTTGTCTTCAGATTTTTATGTTTTTGCCGACCGACCGACCCAACTTCAAAGGGCAATAACATATATGAACCATAATTGGGAGAAAATGCTCGTTTATGATTATTCGATTGAAATGACAATTTTTTATTACTCAACTCGACAGAGTTTAAGAACTTGTAAATCAAAATATTTCTTCCTTGGACCGGCACCATGACGGGATGAAGAAGCTTGTTTAGGGGAAGGCGGGGCAGGAACATACCTTGAACTTTAACTGGCTTCATATATTTTTATACATTAAAGAAAATAGAAATGGATTTCTGTTAGCAGCGCTGAAATAGAAGAAAACAGAGAAGGAGCATTCTAATTTACGCATTTTTAAAAAGAGAAATATTTAAATTGTGTCCTTATTGTAACTGGGCCTGTGTTAAACACACGTAAATTTGTACCAAATGATTTTACTTTGAGTGCCGTGCATTTCACGAATGAATATAAGCATTGTGATCTGTCTCAGTTTAATCCTCGTTGATATAATTATGTTTGAACTATAAGAATTGAAATTATACGACCAAGGACGAATTAACTTGAATGAAAAAATAGTAATCTCGATTTTTAGGACAAGCCGGGTGAGCTAGACTCATTATCGACGCTAAACATACACGAGTTAGCTGTCTTCTGCAACATGAGCTCGAGGTTGAGGACTTTCAATATCTGGGAGCCGGCGTAAAGTCTCTACATGCGCGCAAAATCAGCAAGGAAAGCTGCTTGAATGGCAATACATTAACAAGTTACAACAGATCTGGAAAGCCGAACTCCCTTGAAGACATAAATCACTAGTGTTTGAGAAAATGATTGGACCAGGACTTCTGCATGGTCCTTATTTAAACGAGCATTTATCAAGCTGGACCTCGACCCGAGTCTGAGTTAAGTTTGGACATAATAGGGCATACACGGACCCCTCTTGTGTGGTCCGGTCATGACCACTTTAGGCCGACCACCGCCCACCCTTTTTATACTAAAACAAATGTAACAAAAGCCACATCGGACGTCACCGGTTAAAAAGCAGCAAGCTTCAGCTGTATGGGAAATAGGCGTTACAAGAGATTTCAAGAAGATGAAAAATACAAATGATAGTGAGGTTACTTTTAATGTCGGTGCCCTTTACCCTACCTACTGAACCCCAGTACCAGGAAGGGGCCGGGGACACAACAATTTGAAGGTGTGTGCCTTTCACCCTCAATTTTAAAGGCATCATGACATGAATTTTACTTGGGAACATAATTGTTTTGTGCAACTGTTATTCCTTTTAATGTAGGCCTATATGAAAACTATTTGATATCTCTTTTTCGTTTAATCTTTTGAAAAGTGCATTTCTTTAAGGGTGCACACCGGTAAATAGGCCTAAATCCATCCGCCGAGCTCATGAACAAAAAGTTAAAACTAAAAGTTATACCCTCAAAATATTCTATATTGGAGAGTTCTGAGAGCCATAACATTGGGGAAATGAAGAGATATGGCAATGAACCTCTGGCCCGGACTTGGGGCTTCCAATTCTGAGCATTTTGGATGCAATTGGGCTCGAAAGTGGCGCTATTTTGCCATGTTGTGTAGGGATCGTTTTTCAAGATGGCTACCGTTCCGCTTTGGGGAAAATAGGGGTCGTCTTCTTTGGGCGAGAATTTCTCGAAAAGTCAATGGTCAACCCACCAAAAATTGAAAAGAAAATGAAAGATGACATGTTGATCATCAGTTTTCTGTGCAGCTTAAATATCCGTGAGAGTTCTGAGTATTTTAAAAAGAATTTTGAAGTATGGGCATTTAGCACTAGTGTCTATGGGAAGTTTAATGCAGTAGTGCACCCTTCAGTTATTCAGAGTATTCTCAATTAAAAAAAAAAATGCTGGGGTTGTAAAAGTCATTTTGGAAAGTTTGAGAGTCATTTGCAAAAGTTAATTTTTGAACGGAACAAGTAAAAAAAAAAGGGAGGTGTCCTAAACTTACACGACTACCCGGCCCTATGGTCCCCAGTCCAGCAAATTCATACAAAAATTTAGATGGTACAACCGTGTAAATAGGTCAAAAATCCATCCGCCGAGCTCATGAATAAAAGTTATAACTCAAATTAAGAGAGTTCTGAGAACCACGGAATTGGGCTATTGAAGAGAGACGGCAATGCACTTTGGCGCTTAGCCATGTTGTGGTGAGGGATCGTTTTGCAAGATGGCTACTTTTCCGCTTTGGGAAACCTCACTCGTTTTAGGGGTCGTCTTCTTTTGGTGACTGAATTTCTCGAAAAGTCAATGGTCAACCCACCAAATATTGCAAAGTAAATGAAAGATGACATATTCATTATCTTTTTTTTCTGTGTGGCATAAACACCTGTGAGAGTTCTAAGTATTTCTATGGGCATTTAGCACTGGTGTCTATTATATGGGAATTTCGGCGATACGGCCGGTCGCTCTCTTTTTAATTTTCAACACCACTAAATAGCGCCCTCTACAATCACTGCTTAGAATTTAAAGATGGCAGCGACCACAGTGAAATATGAGGGGTGCAACTTCTTCAGGCAAAGACTTGTCCTAGCAACTTTGAGCGGAAAGCCAGTAAAAATAAGTAAAATAAGACACAAAGACGATGAACCTGGACTTCGTGGTATGTTATTTTTCCCTCAAAATTCTTTGGAATCGCGTATTTTTAGTGTTGTAAAGTGTGTTGCTACAAACGGCATGGACTATTCGTGACCAACCCGCCCCATGTATGAATCAGGCAATAGGGGCGACTTGCCAGGTCCAGCTTTAAAATATAACCATCCGAATCCGTCATCATCGCCTCTTTGAAACAACCATTTGATCTAAATACTAAAGGTTTATGAAGATTATTGTTAGCAAGTCCTTTTTATTGTAGAAATGGATGGATTTGGGGGGTTAGTATTTTATAGCAAATAGTGTTGCACTGGCTTGTTTGAAGTTTTGTTCGTACTACGAACACAAAACTTCAAACAAGCCACTGTAACAATATACACATGTAGATGTTGAAAAAACCAAGAAAAACAATCATGTTCGTGTAGTCTGGTTCTCTGACCCCACTTAAGATGAAACAGATCAATTTATAGACATCGAGGGCATGTCAGGGAACCAGTCTAGCTGGCTTGTTGTACCTGTTCATAGGTGTGTAACTGATTGCAAACAAAATGCAGACTAACTAACTATGGTAAATTGGGGGCAGTATTAAATAAAAACAAAAACTTTCTTGAAAATGACAGCACACCATGTGCCATGATTTTACAGGATGCTTTAGATTGCCATTCACTAACAGTCCAGAAAGGTATTTAATAATAATTTGGTAGTTTTCTGTTCTTTTCCACATTGAACATCTGCCAGTCATCGGACCATTGTAGTATCTGATGATGTTTACTGTGCTACTGTGGTTGTGGGGACCAAGGGCGGATCCAGGGGGGGGGGGCCAAAGGGGGCCATGGCCCCCCCCCAAAACGAAACCAATTTTTTTTTTTTTTTATGTGACATCGCAATAAAGGCAGGCAATGAGTACACCACCATCTTTTCCTCAAAAAAACATTGGTTAAAGTGGTCAGAAGTTGCCTCAGATCGCACCACAGAGCATCTAGAATCCAAAATTTTTTCGGGGCCCTTAAGCGGGCCCCGGACCCCACGCCGTAATTTTTTTTGACCCACTTTTTGGAGTCCAAATTTTTTTTTGGCCCCCCCGAAAATTGTGTTCTGGATCCGCCCTTGGTGGGGACCAGCTTTGGCAAACTGCATTTTAAACTTGGTATCTAAAGACTTTTTCAGAAACTAGTTTTGAAGACGCCCCGTGATTACTGTTCAGAATAGTTTTGCAGATGATCATTCACAAATTCCTGTTGGAAGTTTGCACAATTCGTACATTTTGAAAGCTTTAACTTGTCAAAATCAACAGTGTGTGCCATGTACTGACCTGCCATGTTGCAACTCTTGTATACAGTGATAGTTTCACAGCTTTTCAGCACCACCATTTGCTACCACTGTAGTATATTGTTGTGTGAGGTGGTGCGCTAGTGAATAAATCTCACAGCCCATGTGTCAAAGATCGGCTATTAGACCTCTCATTGAAACCATCATTCATCTTTTCTCTTACAGATTTTGAAGCCAGTTTAATCAGACTACTTGATAAAGTGACCAATGGATCCAGAATTGAGGTCAATGAAACAGGTACATGTACAAGGGTCATTCTATAAATTTAGGATCCAAAATGTGACATTTTTCCTGTCCCTGTTACCTTGGTACATTGTAATCTGTTGCTCACACTACCCTTTGATTTCTCCCTTAAACTTAAGCAAAAAAAAAATAGTTCTGCTTCCGATTACATGGCATTTGAAAATAAGGTAGGTAGGTAGGGATTTTTTTTTTGGCCAATTTTTTTGTGTACGATCAGTACACGTAGAAATTGATGGCTTTGGGTGTTTTTTTCTTATTTTGCCAATAAAAAAATGAGGGTAGGGGCTGTTATGATAGGGTAGGTAGGGAAACCGGAAGCAGAATTTTTTTGGGCCTAACCCCCTAACCCTCCATCCTCCAAAGTCCTACGGGCAGTTTTGGAGAATTTTTGAAGATTTTGGAGAATTGAGAGCTCATTGACATTCAGTACCAGTTGGTTTTTGGAGGATTAAGGATGAATGGTGTTGAAGAAGAGGAGGATTTGGAGGATTGAGGCTGAATGCATTTTGAGAGGCCGGACTGTCGGAGGGTTGTGAAGGATTGAGGCAGTGGGTATCCTTCATTGGAGCATAAAAGTTGCAGAAAGTTGATTGTTAACATAAAATGGAGTCTGCGCACATGTACATGTGTCTCTCACATCACATTGCGAAGATACTTAACACAAATTGAAAATGTCCTTCTTAGTTTGTGACTTCCTAGTGGCATGTCTGGCTTTTATATCTTTGGGATTTTTGCAGATAAACCAAAAGAAACCACTTGAGCGATAATTGTACAACAACTAAATAAAATGCTGCGATCATCAAATCTGATACTGTTAGGTGTTTTTAATTATCAATTCTTAATGGTCTCTTTTTTTGTAAACAGGAACCAGTGTTCTATATCAGCCCGGTCTCTTGAGCGGAGGCAATGTTGAACACGACTGCAACACACAGCGGGCAATAGGCTACTATCTTGAGGCACTGATTTGCCTGGCTCCCTTCATGAAGAAGCCAATTAAAGCTGTACTCCGAGGGGTTACCAATGACCAGGTTGATCCATCAGTAAGTGATCACAGCGTTTACATACTTAAGTTTTGATTCATTTTGTTTTGAGTTGTGGGTTTTGCTTTATGTTACACTTTTGAAAGCATCTAAGGAGTTGACTAACATGTATGCTATGCAAGAGACAATCAACATGGGAATACATGTAGGGGCGACAAAGGTACTTGTGGAGCTCTCCTGTAGTTAGACCATTCAAAACACCTCAAAATATGGGTGCTGGCAAATTGGAGGAAAAAATGCTGGACCTTTTAAAATCCTCCAGAATTTATTGTTACTGCACTACCACACCTTTCAATTCCTTTCGAAAGGTATTGAAATGCAACTTACTGAATTTGCCCACAGAGTTGCTTCACCTTCCGAAACCTTTCGCAAAATTTTAAAGTTCCAGCACTATTTCACCTTTCAAAACCCTTTTAGTCAGGCAAATTTAAAATGTTTTGAAAGGTCTGATAATTCTCTTGCCAACTGCACTGGGCATAGCAGGGTTAAATTACTTGACCGTTAACTCCTAGTTCCCTCGTTTTTTTAAATGTGTTTTTAGGGCAGACAAGTACTCAAGATGAATAATAATAGAAGTTCTATTTCACAGTACACAAAGTTGCATTGCACGGTCACACTATTGATGGCTCTGACCAATCACATGATGATTAATTCAGGTGTTGATGTTTTACATGTTTGCAATGGCAAGAATAATTTCATTTGGTGACAGATGAAATGTTCCATTCCACTCGGCTTCGCCTCGTGGAATGAAACATTCATCTGTCACCTCACGAAATTATTCTTGCCATTGCACTCCCACACGTTCATTATTTGTATACTGATCAACAATGCAGTAACTTCACCCCAGTAGAGATCAGAACAACAAACAGCTCAGGACAGATATAATGGAGAAATGCTCATGACCAGTCAACTGCCTTGCAGCTGACTATTAAATGATGACAGTGATGTTAACATTGGCAATATCTTGGCTTGATCATTCATTCCATTGCTTTATTTTCTGATTTGAGGTTGATATCATCAGAACAGTCACCTTTCCTCTGCTCAGAAAGTTCTACATCGATGAAGGGCTTGAGCTGAAGGTATGTCATGACGATTTAAAATGCCTGTTTTCTACATTTCTCTTCTCTTCTTTTCTTACATTGATTGGTAGATGGTAATGAATTTTCGATTGCACATTCGAGTCACAAAACAACTCCCACCCACAAAAAAGCATGAAAAGTGAACACAGACTACGTACATGTGCACATACATTGCACTGTTGCAGCTTGGACTTACATGTGTTAAAGTGCTTTACAGTCACTTCAACCCATGTCAGTACCCCCACACAACTCTCCCCCCCCCCACATTTCCACTTCGCCCCATGTGAGTACGCCACAACCAGCTTCGTCCAATTTCCACTTCGCCCTATTGCCAATTCGCCCTATCACCTCTTTGCCCCATTGCCTCTTCACCCCATCGCCACTTTGCCCAATTCCCATTTTCAGTTTGCTTTATTATCTGCCCAAGAAAATGTTAAACTTTTCACATGTCATATGTTAAATTTTTGTTGAGTTTAATCAACTTATTCGGCCTGTATCAATCATATGCAGTGGATTAAAAAAAAAAAAAAACCCATAAAGAAAATGGAATGTGTATTTCAGGCTTAAAAAGTACTAAAGTAGAAAAAGTTGTAGGCTGATACAAGAAGGCTGACAATAAGTAAACGTTAACTTACATTAACCTTAACTAAAAGTGGGCCTACATATTTTTGGACCTAAACGTAGGCCTAAAAGGTACATGTGTTATGCAGTATCATCAAATTCGTGGGTGGAGTAGCCTTTAGTCAAGTCCCACGTGCTTATCCAGACACGTGACGCACCCTGGATGCTGGCATGTAAAAAGACTAGCACGAGCGGCGAAGCCGCGAGGGCCTTTACCATCTCGTGGCGATCGCTTATGTTTTTCTCTACATTTTGTCTACCGATTTGGTAGAAAAATTTTCATGCATAATGCATGACATGTTGTGAATGCGTGCGCGTCTTTTTTTTTTTAGAACGCATGTTGCGCGCTCGCGTCATCACCTCAAAAATGGCTTGTTCGTGGTGATATATATATCTGCACACATGCATGATTCATATTACTTGAAAAAATGAATATTGATCAGCTCCACGAGATGGTAAAGGCGCTCGTGGCTTCGCCACTCGCACAGGTCTTTTTCGTGCCAGAATCAGGGGCGCCACGCGTCCGGGTAGACACGCACGCCTTGACTAAAGGCTAGGGTGGAGTAGCAATAGGGCAAAGTGGTAATTGGGCGAAGTGGCAATAGGGTGAAGTGGTAATGGAGTGAAGATGTTAGGGGCACATTGACATGGGGCGAACTGGAAATGGGGCAAAGTGACCGATATCCGTTAAAATTCTTGTGACCTGTTGCTAAAAAAAAACCCACCAAAAACCTGAAATATTTGTTCAAATTTTAGGATAATTGCAACAATAATGAAATTTGTCTTTAGTGAAATAACAATAGGGAAAGGTTTTATTTTAATCTCATTCTAACTAAAATCCATTTTGCCTGATTTCCTCGTCCCAGATCACACGGCGAGGAGCACCCCCGGATGGTGGCGGCGAGGTCATCTTTAAATGTCCTATCAAGAAAAATCTCAGACCACTTCAATTCATCAAACCTGGGAAAATCAAGCGAGTACGGGGAGTGGCGTATCCTTTGTGTTGTCTTTACTCTTTTGCCATTTTGACATAACTGTTTGTATTTTTTATTGCAATTTCTTACTCTTTATTGTTCGTTTAAAAGCCATTCTTTTAAATTATCCTGACATACATATCCTGCTATCAACCAATGCAATTATTTTACTGTTCACTCATAAGGCTTTAATCCAGTAATCCACAGTTTCTGTTTTCACCATCCATACTTGTCTTTCCTCTGTGTCCTATTTTTCTCAGGTCTGTATCCATAAATTATATCTTCTTGCATCTGTACATTTCACTATATGCTGGCTATGTTTGATAATCCTTTTATCGATAATTAACAAGTATGTCATTCAAATTTATTTAGCCCCTTTTCAATTGCAATCCTTAACTAACCCAACCAGATATGCCATGCGTGTATCACCCGCTGTGGCTAATCGAATCGTCGATGCAGCCCGTAGTATTCTAAACCAGTTTCTTCCTGATATCTACATCTACACTGATCATATGAAGGGTCCACAGTCTGGCAAGTAAGTCCTTCCAAAAAACATTTCCTTCCAACCTCTTTGTAGTCTGGTTGAAATCCAACATCATCCATAAATGCACTCCGATGACATGTAAGCAAAGTGATTGGGATGGCTAACCATCCCTCTCTATCAGGCCGGCATTAATTATTTACATGTTGTCATAAAATATTGCAATTTTACTTCATTACTTCAGATTTGTAGTCTCTGCATGTGTTGACCTCAATACCACAGTCACCCTCCCTCTAAAAAAAAACACTTGAGCCTCAACACCTCATTATTAAACTCCATTGAAAATCCTGCATCCACTCTTGGACTCTATACAGGAATAGTGAGTGGGTGTTGTGTGGTCTATGGTGTGGGGGAGTTGTGCAAGAAGACCCGGTGGTTTTGGTACAAATAGAGAGCTGAAAAAAAAGGGAGGGATGGTAACTAATAAATAATAAAAGAACATTTGAAGAGCGCCGGTATCCGCCTAAAAAAGGCGCTCATGGCGCTTGCGGAGAAAGTCAAGTTAGGATTGTGTGTTGTGAGTGTAAACTTGTTTGTACAGGTGAGATTTTATGTTTGTCTTAAATGTTGTGATGGATGGAGATGATTTGATAGCCAGAGGGAGTTGGTTCCATACTCGGGCTGATGCTGCAGTAAAGGATCTGTCACCCCAAAGAGTGGAGGTCCTGGGCTCGTGAAGCATCATGAGCTCACTGGAGCGGAGTCCGGTGCGTGCTGTTGAGTACGGGTGGATGAGGTCGATGAGATACTCCGGCGCATTGTTGTGGAGGATTTTGAACACGAATAGGCCAAGTTTGTATTTGATTCTGTATGATACTGGAAGCCAGTGGAGATCTGCTAGTACAGGAGTGATGTGAGAATGTTTACTAGTGAGAGAGATTAGTCTGGCACTGATGTTTTGTAGTCGCTGCAAACGGTTTAGTTGACCGCACTCTCTGCACACAGTCCGCTTGCACGTGGCTTGTTGTATGTGGACGCGGCTTAAACCATTGGCACAGCGGTCTGGCAAACGGACATTTCTGGTAAACACCGCCCTTCATAAAAAATGTCTGGCTATGCCATTGCATTCACTGTCCAGGGGGTACTTGTCCACAAAGTACATAGTGAACTGGGAGTTTGCTTCATGTAACAGAATGTAACTGTCAACACAAAAGGTCCTGTATTTTATGCTGTGATGAACAAGAGCCAACAGAATTTACCTGTTGTTGAGCTTTGCTGGATTGACATGGTGTGCAATACTTGTAAAAAATCGCAAATACTTTATGAGTAAATTTTCTTGTGATTCACAGATCCCCAGGCTTTGGCTTGTCGTTAGTTGCCGAGACAACAGAGGGTGCTTTCCTGAGTGCCGAGCTATCATCCAATCAGAAGGGACAGACTCCCACCATTCCTGAGGACCTGGGCAAGCAGACAGCAATGCTGCTAATGGAAGAAATATACAGGGTACGAAGGCAAATACATTGATGCTGTTTATCTCTTGAGAAAAACCCTGTACCGTAATTTAACTGTGGTGGTGTGTTAATTTGGTGGTTACCATGGCTACCCTGCTCGGTGCTTTATCACTCATCTTTAACTTCTTCCTCTCAGGTTTCATCTTTGAACCAAAGAAAAGATTGCCTGACTAACAGAACCTACTTAGCAATGATTTGATGTATTAAAGTGGTAGACCATTGTCAGTGTTACTATTGTGAACAACCGGAATGAATCATAGTCTGAAGAATGATAATAAAACTAGATATTTCAGTCCTGACAGGCTGACTGCTTGATGGATTTTCTTTCTTTTTGTTGGTTTCTAGGGAGGATGTGTAGATTCTAGACATCAGAGTTTGGCGATGCTCTTCATGGCTCTCGGCCAATCAGATGTCTCCAAATTATTAACAGGTCCACTGTCACCATACTCGTAAGTATGCTTGCGTATGGATCCAGTGGTCACAAATAGAAGACAATACTGAGGTGTACCATTCATGTATGTTCATCTCTCACTTTCTTAACTTTTAGGTGGTCTTGCATTTTGGCTAGTTGTGAACAACCCTTTTGGCTGGGAAATATATAGGTCCTACAACCTGCGTTAGAGCATTGCATGTCTTTAATGATGGTCACTGGAATAGCATCTGTGAATTATTAATTAAATCATTACTTTACAACACTTGGCTGCGGTTAATCTGTAAGTTACAGAGAGTTGCATCCGATAATAATAATAATGGCTTCTTGTATAGTACTCATGTTCTTCATGAAGTGACGCTCCTGGCGCTAGCACGGCTGCCATTACGGCGGTCAAGCATTGAACACATTTTTCCTGCCAGGTATCCATTTACTACGCCTGGGTGGAGAGAGGCAATCGTAGTAAAGTGCCTTGCCCAAGCACCATGTTCCCTGTCTGGATTCGAACCCATGTACCACGGCACGCAAATCGAACTCTGTAACCATTGGACCACAGCAACACACATGTTGATCCCTGGTTTGTGACTCTTATAAACAAGTGGGGTAGGAAACAGCCAATATATGTGTACACTTGATATTTCATATTTGACAGGATCCAGTTTCTACGCCACATGCGAGACTTCTTCCAACTCATGTTCAAGATGGAGGTGCAACAAGGCAGTCAGGGGGAGGAGCAAGAAGCTGAGGAGGAGGCGGGGCATAGGAGGGGTGGAGACAAGGTCATTCTGACGTGTGTCGGAGTTGGCTTCACAAATCTCAGCAAGACAACATTATGACAAATCCAGAGCCTGTTTAAAGTGATGTTTTTGTATGCATCTAAGTTGAACTTGATATTGTTATGAACTGATCGTGATCATATTGACATTATTTCAAGAACTTATCTTGGCTTGAGCAGCTGGTGTACATCAGGTCACCAGGAACTACAGCTTCTCTCTTTGACGCAGTTTGCACTTCCCACTTGATCAGTTTGTCTAGTGATGTGCCGCATGGCATTTAAAAGCTCTATAGAATCTATTTTCTTATCATAACTGATCATAGGACTTCTATTTTAGTCAGTCCGTCTTCCATAATGTTGGGCACTATTTGGAATTGATTTGGGGACTCTTAATTCACCTACTGTATTGAATGTAGAGAAAAAAGATTTGGATTCTGAGTTCGGAATCGGGTCTTGTCAATTCAAGCACCCAAACCGAAATGGAGACATTGACTAACATGTCACTTGTGATGCACCTTGGATGCCTGTTGGGTGCTGTGTAGACGGCAAAGAAGATACCCATGCACAGTTATTTGAAACCTACCCATATTTATAGTGGTATACCTGTGGTCTAGAATAGAATCATTTGTGTTTTTCCCAGTGAAAGTGGGCATCATGTGACAGTGGGCATCATGTGACAGTGGGCATCATGTGACAGTGGACATCATGTGACAGTGGGCATCATGTGACAGTGGACATCATGTGACAGTGGGCATCATGTGACAGTGGACATCATGTGACAGTGGACATCATGTGTCAGTTACACACACTTTTGTAAACAAGTGTCCCAAGAGGGCATTATTCCGAGAAAGTGGGTGTGTTAACATTTTGAAGAGCAATTCATTTTAAGTGATTAAAGAAGCACTGACCTCTATACTAACTGGACTGGCTGCTGTTTGATTTTGTTTGTTTTGTATGTGGCCAATTTCAGCGTTATGAAAGGAAGTCTAATGGCCGTGACAGAGCCTATGAACTATGATATCTAATTAATGTTTGAGACATCAGAGAAAGGATCCCAAACTCCTAATCTGTAATCTCCTTGACCATTTCTAGATGATGGATGTGTACGATACATTTCCAGGTTTATTCACTGAGCTCGTAAAAGCTCTGTCATGGACATTACATAATGCTGGAATTGCTGATAAGCAAACATCACTTTAAGCATAGTGATAGGACACATGCTTTTATAACAAACACTTAATTAAGTTTTAAGGTGCTGTAGAGTGTAGCCGCCCCCTCCCCCACACCACCCCCCCCCCCCCCCCCCCCCCCCCCCCCAGTGTCTAGAAATTGTTCCAGATCCCGAGGATAATTTCTCAAATATGTTGGTCGTGCGGCATTCTGTCTGCAATGCTGGCCAATGTTCTGATGAAATCAGATGTGAGCAAAATTGTGTAGTCTTGAAAAACTCGGCTCTCTGAGTATATAATAACAGGGCAAGGTCTAAGATATCAAAATTGAGTTCTGGAGATCATTTGAGAACAAAAAGTGTTTTATACAATGTAGGCACACATTATTTAAGCTCATTTGTAAACCCGAGCATTAACAATCGGGTGTGGGGGGGGGGGGGGAGGATCAAGTCCTTCGTTATAATTCACGGTTGTGACTTCCTCGTCAAGTTTCTTCATGATCTATTTGCTCCAGGAATTGCTCTTGATTTTATCCTCATCTTGAGGTTTTTTTTACATGAGCACAGCATCTTCTGCCTGTGTAAATTTATTGTTAAAATAGTTTCATTCTGCTCTATCACATACCATTATTATCTTATTAATTAACTAAAAGTCATTAATGAAATTATTCTTGCAATGTAAATTTATTGGAAAAGATGCTGACAGTGGTTATATTTAAGTCATGCAAAGACAAAATTGATGAGCATTTATGATTTAGACTTGCTGTAATGGATGATTTCTAAGAAATGTCCAGTAAGCTGGGCATATTCTTTATCGCAACAGATCTCCTAAACTTATTACCAGTGTTAATACCAGTATTTTCATACAAGTTATTTATTTACAACGCCCCTTTTGTTGTTTGTTGTGTCGGTGGTATAACTTCAAACAGGCAATGTTCTTCAGGCCAAAGATTAAATTATTGGGATATTTAAATGGTCCCTGGGTTATAATACTGACAAATTGATTCCAAAGTGCACTCTCCAACAAAAATATTATTTTTATGATAACGCTTGGTAATCTCTTTCAAGCGTCAATGCTGCAATTTGTGTGCAGTTAGTCTGTGCGTCGTAAACTTTAACGGCTGGTTATCAAGACTATCTCTTCCCTGGGTTATCGGTCAAAGGTCGCACTATTAGGTGACGTCACGTGTGAAGCCGACATTTTGTGAAGACGAATGCGTCGTTTACTGTCACAATTTTCTCGGTTTAAAAGCAATTAAAATGCACGAAATATTGAAAAGGAAAGGAAATCTTCTATAGTTGAATCATGTCCGAGTTATTCCGATCAGCACTGGGCCTTCTTGGCGGTGGCCAAGGCGACAGAGGAAGCGAATTCGTCGGGTCTCAGGTGGAGCTGGGGGACACGAAATTGCGTGTGAAGAAAGTCATAGCGGAAGGTGGGCAGGACCAAATTGCAAACGCTACCGAAAATAGTAGTGCAGTGCTGACTGACTGGCAGTTTTCATCATGATCATTTGTGTCTTTTCGAGAAAAAGAATGTAGTATCCAGACGCCACATCTTTGGTTGTGTACAATGTCTAGAGTCGAGTGCATTTTCAAAGTATTTTCTAAAATTGGAAATGTTTCTCAGTAAATGTACTAAATCTCACCATCTCATTTTCCGAGTTCGGAATCGCTTAAAAAAAACCCTAGGGCCTACCTCTTTTGGATACCGATTATCAATGATTAGTCTCCAATAATATTTTTTTTTCTGACGAAATGCACTTTGACACGGAAAATGTGAGCCTCTTGATCATGTTGATACACTAGTCCGAGTAACTTGGACCCAACTTATCGCCTTTTTAAAAATTTGGACATGGTCTGGCGATAGTAGGGTCCAAGCCCATTCCGAGACCTAGACAACATAGTCACTGACAGTCCCAAAAACCAACATTTTCCAACAAAAAACATCAGATTTCACCTTCAAAATGGCCTCCAAATTACTAGATATGTCACCTGAGGTACAAGTAGACATAGATGATTAAGATGGTTGTACTTAAGTTTACTTACGATCCGGAAAAAAAGTGAAATTTTCCGTTCATTTCGGAGAGCTCCCCTCGCGATCTTGAACACGTTAAATTTGCGATCGTGTTTAAAGTTTGAACGACGCGATTTCTTCTACATGCCCAGCGTACATTCGATGGTCCCCGTATCCCGAGTGCGATTCCGTTACCGAGCGCGCGCGATGCATCGATTATGATAATGAGTAGACTGGATCACGTTTGTAAACACATGTGCATTTCAAACGATAATAGGGAGTCGGGAACTAGCGCAGCTTTTATAGCGGGTACCAGTTCAAGCTGGTTCCCGATTCCCTTTTACAGTTCGAAATGCACATGTACATGTATGTGTTTACAAACGTGACTCATTATCATAATCGATGCATCGCGCGCGCTCGGTAACGGAATCGCATACGGGATACGGGGACCATCGAATGTACGCTGGGCATGTAGAAGAGATCGCGTCGTTCAAACTTTAAACACGATCGCAAATTTAACGTGTTCAAGATCGCGAGGGGAGCTCTCCGAAATGAACGGAAAATTTCACTTTTTTTCCGGATCGTAAGTAAACTTAAGTACAACCATCTTAATCATCTATGTCTACTTGTACCTCAGGTGACATATCTAGTAATTTGGAGGCCATTTTGAAGGTGAAATCTGATGTTTTTTGTTGGAAAATGTTGGTTTTTGGGACTGTCAGTGACTGTGTTGTCTAGGTCTCGGAATGGGCTTGGACCCTACTATCGCCAGACCATGTCCAAATTTTTAAAAAGGCGATAAGTTGGGTCCAAGTTACTCGGACTATTGATACACAAATATCTTTTGGATAAAATCTTTAGAAAAGGAATTTTGGCGAGATTTCTGACTCGTACTTTGACATGTTTGTAGAAAATCGTTTGTAGAAAATCATGGGAGCTGCGAATCGACAATAAATTTTCTCCTCGGTACATCACTCGTACCGTGTGATTTTGAATATTTTGTTCATATGGTACATTTGTATAAACTCTTCCCAAATGTTTGTTGAATCAAAATAAGTTGTAGAGTCTCTAATATTTTAAAATTTGCAAATGAATGACCGTATGTTTTTGCTTAGTTCCGGATCGCGCGTGCACTTACGTCGACCCAACTGCACGCGTGTTAATCAATTTTGTGTGATGATGTATTCTGTGCTGGGTCAAAGATTTTCAGTCCGTGCTTGAGTTTATGCTGTTGCACTGCAGACAAAAGTTTCAAAAGCATTTATGTTTTTTCTCTTTTTAAAATTGGCTGGAATTCTCTTGAATGAACTGTTTTTGAAAAATTAAATAATACTTTATCAGAAAATGTGCTTGATTAGGGGTGGTTCTGGCTGAAAAATTGATTTTCTGATTTTGCTCGCATGAATTTTTTTGTCGCGCGAGGCATTTTTTTATCGTTTCGGAACTGATCAAACTGATGTGGAACTAGGAAAAGTGGCATCAGTACTTTTGACATCGTAAAGTCAAAATAAAAAGAGCTTAAATTTTGAAAATTATTTTGTAGTATCTCCATCACTCAAGCCAAGGTAAACTTTTTAACCAGTGCCACTTGAATTCGTGGAGTTGTTGAGCTGAAAGCAGCCTGAATGATGTTTGCTATCTGGAACTAGGAAAATGACTGTACTAGATTCATGGGAAAGATTCCCATATCTGGCCATCACTAATTTTCCTTCAGTGACCTACCGGTATCAGCAATCAGAAAGTGATAACATGTCCTAAAAAGTCAAAATTAGCAGGGAAAATATAGAAGTATTTACTGAGAAAACACTTAGAATTTTCAGACCAGTCTCAAACTAGTTTACTAACACTAAACCATTGTTTGTGCACAGGGTCAGGGTGACAAGTGATGGCCAGATATGGGAATCTTTCGATTCAAGTCTTCTCAACATGTTCAAAACAACATTTTTTGCAATGACTGACCTTCATTGTATATTTAGATAATAAATAATAGACCTAGGCGGCTAGGCTTATATAATAAAAAAAAAAGTGGCGTCGGGATGCAACATTCTTGGAAATGATTCTCAGTCCCAGATTCATGTCTTTTCCACATTTTTGCAATGACTGACCTTCAATGAGATAATATATGATGGAAATAGTGGCGCCAGGATGTGTACAACTGTGCATAATTGTTGCGTCAATTGAGTTGTGTACACAATAATGCCAGCAGTTGAATCTCGATCTCGTGACTATTCCGAAGCTAACGGTGGTTTGTGATAACCAGCAGCACAACACGCACTCCAGACGACAGCTGTTTTATGATGCACTGTGAGTAGTCCATGCGGCCTTCTTTGCATTCTCGCGGACTGCTCACAGTCCATCATCAAACAGCCATCGTAATGCGAGCCCAATTCCCGAAAAGGCACGCGCACGTGGTGCTGCTGGTAATCGCAAACCATTGTTATTAGCTTCAAAAAAGTCGGCTAGCATTATTTTGTACACAACTCAGCTGACACGACAAATGCACAGTTGTACACACCCGGAGTTGCAACTACATGTAAAATACCTCTTTTTATCTGGTTCGGCTTGATCATATATTGTCATTTTCAGTGGATCCTTTGCTGCTTACACAAATATCTCATGTCTTGCGTGAGTACTTTGTAATTTTTATGAAAACGGAAAATATCGGTCCTAAAAGTGAAAACCGCTGTCTAAGTCAGGGAAGTAATTCCAGCTCAACTGGCAAATCTCCCCATGTCATGAGCCTAGCGCGCTGGATATTTCAAGCTAGTGGTTCGATAGCGTTTGATCAATCAAGGAACCAAAGATGACCTCTGGGTGGGAGAGTTATGTTTACTAAAACTAAACCCGTGCTGGCCTAATGTCCACTGCCTAAATTATTGGGCCAAGTCAGTAATCATTTTATTAAAAAGTATGTTTGAGCACAAATTCCCAGTTTGTGTATTAATTTGTGGTGTTGTCTTTCCTGACTTGCAGGTGGTTTTGCCTTTGTGTTTGTTGCTACTGACAGTTCAGGAAAGGAATATGCATTGAAGGTAATTGAGACAATCATATTGATTTTGCTGGTCTATGTTGATCTTACAACAACAAGCAGTTAGTCCTTTCTGTTGGATTCTTTGGGGTTCAGCAAGCTTGGCATCATGCTTTGCTTTGCTTTGCTTTGTTGGATTCTTGTGAATTAATAGGATGTGGTGTTTGGAATTTAGATGGTAGAGCCTTGATCATACTTTACACAAGCCTTGATCATATCCCCATGTACTATTAGTTTGTTTGCTCCAACTCTGTATGACTGTAGTGTGTAGTGAATGGATTATGAACTTTGTGAATGAACACTGCACAGGACACACTGATCTGGTACACGGTACCCTGTGGAGACATGTGCATAATAGGGAACAAAATATTCCCACAAGGTTATCACAAAATAGATATATGGATTTTACTCAAAAATAGGAATTTCCAAGGTGTGTTGATCTGTCACAAATTGAAGTATTTTATGCAAGGGATATTAAGTCCGAATTTCAGCCCAGGAAATTAATTCTGGTTAAAATAGGAGCATTTTGAAACTACACCTCCAAACTCTAAGATTTTAGTACACAGGAACAAAAAAAAATGACTCCACAAGGATACACATTCCAGTATGGGTGTATCACTGGTTCTCATGTTTATGGCACAAAACACTACAAGAAATTTTAGTCAAAATCATTTTGGTATGATTTTTCACACACCCTAGGGGGTTAGGGTTAAACTGTACATTTTATGCAAATTATTTATTTGTTTCTTTTGATATTTTTCCAGAGACTTCTCGCAAATGATGATGAAAAATCCAAAGTGATCCTACAGGAAATATCTATTCTGGTATCCTTTTACAATTCAGTAAATTTATAGAGGATTTTCACAAGATGCACATCTGAAATTATTTTCGTATGAAATCTTTTTTTACCATAACAATGTGTTTTTCTTTTCACTTATTCTACTTCTTTTGGCTGGTCGTATATTTCTATGTTTTTTGGAACACAGGCTGAATATATTGATAAGTATATTTTAGTAATGTAGCCCAAACAATCCCTTTTTCTGTTAAATGAGAGTATGTGATATACCTGTATGTTCTTTGTGTTGTTCCCCAAAGTTGTAGTAATTGGTTTCTATTATCAGTATCGCTGTGGAGGCCATTGTGTGAACACATTCATGGAATATTAAACCGTTCTGTAGATTGTTTTAAATTGATACATGTTTAATGCTGTATGCAGAATTCAGCCTGACTGGACAGCCATGAAGCCAGTGCTGTTTGTGACCCACCCTCAATCTATACAATCAATATATATGTACTACCTCCATGTGGTATGTGCTATACATACATGTGTACGGTATGCACACTATGCATATATACATGAGCCCATGAAGTGCTTTTATGATCTGCATGTACATGTACATGTACATGTACTTCTATGCATTGTACATGTGGGCTGGTGTTATTATACATGTTGTAGCAGTGATGCAGAAGATGAATACACAAAATGCTACAGTGTACATGTGACATCTACTTAAAATGGCCAATTGGAGCTAAACAATTTTATAAATAATGTGCTTCCTTAGGCTTATGTGTCGTCTTTTGTCATATTTTTTATGTTTATATACATGTACATATGTGAACTAATTACACAATTGGGCCTTGATGCATGTATAGCTTGAAACATTACAAATACTTCAAAAAACACATGGGAAATGTGGTCACAGTAACATTTGCATAAATTGGCCAGCCAGCATGGCCAGGTTAACCGAAGAAAAAGTGGTCAATATGAACAGGTGGCCACTGTGTTTTTACATGTAGTTTGCATTCTCTAGAACAAACACAACTGCCTTATTAGCAGGCACCAGAGAAGCAGATGTGACTGGAATATTGTCTGAGCAAACAGCAAGTTGAATATCATATCATGGCATTGATTGTAGAATGCCATGGTACAGTGGTTACGGTGTTTGACTCATGTACAATGGTGCGTGGGTTCGAACCCTGCCAGGAACGTGGTGTTTGTGCCCTTGTGCAAGACACTTATCTACAATTGCCTCTCTCCACCCAGGAGTATATGGGTACCTGTGAGGGTATAGAGGACCGCATGTACGCTGATATCGGCTGCCGCGTGGTCCCCTGGCCTGATGAACGGAGTAATAATATGATAATTGTAAAGCACTTTGCGATTGTTGTTACGATGGAAAGGCTATATAAGCGTAACAATTATTATATTCATTTTAAGAATGCTTGCTTCATCTAGACAGTTAAGTAAATTACTTGTCTTGATCTTGCTGGTTAAAACGTCAAGCCACTTTTTGTCTTCAAAAATACTATGAATACTATGAACATTGTCTCATGATCTCCAAGATCAAAAATATTCCTTAGCAGTTTCTGTTAGAAAAAACTATCTGGTCATCCAAACATCGTCCAGTTTCTGTCGGCAGCCTCGAGTGGCAAGGAGGAGTCTAATAATGGTCAGTCAGAATACCTAGTCCTGATGGAGCTATGCCCTGGTGGTGGTCTAGTTGAAGCCATACAGGCTAAGGGATCACCACTCAGCTGTGATGAGGTCCTACAGATCTTCTTCCAATCATGCCGGGCCGTCGGTCACATGCACAGACAGAAACCACCAATAACACACAGGGATCTCAAGGTCAGTGGGTTGGGTTCAATCATGAATATTCATGGTAAAGTGTGCGCTATTCATTATTCATGATACATGTGCTCATGGTCAATATGCATTTTGCATTATGTGCATTGTTTTTATGTTGCATTATTCATTACTCAGGTCCTCTTATCAATACTGTTATGAATATTCCAAATGTAACATTCATCCCATGCCCTATTCTGTTGAGAAAAACTAGAATTAGCTCTTTGAGTCCTCTTAGCAACTATATTCAAAACTAAAAAAATACTACCACATAATTGATCTTTATGTTTGATTGTTGCGATATTTTTCTTCTGATAAATTGCTGGTAAGATCTAGGTGATCCAATTCTCTTGACTCCTGCTTTTTTAATGAATAAACATGTATATATTTTAATTTATTTGAAGATAATTTTTTTTTTGGAAAATTTTGAAAGCTTGTAAGTGAGATTCCATTTTCCCCATAAACATCAAAATAATACTGTTTTACAGTTGGAGAATCTTCTGATCGGTGCGAAGGGAACAGTAAAACTGTGTGACTTTGGAAGTGCAACAACCAAGTCCTACCATCCAGATGAGACATGGACTTCACTAAAGAGAAGCTTACTGGAAGATGAGGTGGGCGTCATAGGTCATTGTAATCAATATTGGTCCATGTTAAGAGCGTTACAATAGGAAGGCTGTATTTGAGAGGTTTCGCATGCAAATGGATCCGTGTAAGGACTGTTCGAGACGCAGTGCTACTGCTGTGCCGAACTTAATTAAAATGAGTGCAGCAATAGCTTGTCTACGGCATGGCTGTTGCTCTAATCGCCAAACTTAATAGTTGAAGCTTAATGCATCTTGAGCAATGGGCCATGTTATAGCAGTTTAAGCAGGTAAGTGAACTTTCGCGCCAATTTCACTTCCTGTGATGCATACGCGAGAGGGGGTATTGTGAGCATGCGCATCCTTAAAATCCTTGTCCCAACTTTGAATTGAATTGAATTCGGCACAGCAATGGCATGGCGTTTAGAACAGTGCCATCTCACTGCCATTTGGAACGACAATAGCGCAGCAGCCCTGTCGCCCTACAAGAAGTTGCCATGCCGAATTCAATTTGTCAAGCCAAATGGTTCCAAACGCTGTGCTATTGCTGTGCTGAATTTAAAAAAGTCAAATTAATTGAGTTCTGCAAGGCAGTAGCTAGGCGTCCAGAACGGGCCTTTGCTATCTGTAATTGTCATAAACTATTCCATCGTTAGACGTCATGTTAGGCATGCAACTTCCTCAGATCAGCTAATTTTCTTGTTTTTCACTTCACACTTAATGCCATTAAACATTGAAAAACACTGGGTAAAGTCTTGTCTTGAAAAGCTTGGGATCTCCTTTTTCTTGTCACTTCCCAGTTGCATGCCTTTCGTGTAGGCAAACGCATACACTTAGTTATCGGAACCGATACGTATCCAAAATGGTAGTATCTGATAAAATCCTCATATCTGCGGTTAATCCTACTCTGAAACTAAGACAAAAGGCACATAGATGAACAATTCATCCTCTTTTTAATCAAATCATACATTAACCCTAACCTCCCCAACTCCATCAAAATCCATCCTCTCACTTTGGTGGATTTTGGGAACTTGGTCCCAGTACGCCTGGTATGACTAAATATTGATAGAGTATGATGAACTTAGGCCTGGAGGCCTGAATCAAAGCATGCATTGGAAGCAGTGTGATTGATAAATTTTGGCAGACTTGGTCCACTACTTAGTAAAAGACAGTAGGGATATAAAATAAAGTAACAAAGGTTGTTCAGGTTGTTGGATTTTACACTTTGACGTTTTACCATTTATTGTGCCAGATTGAGGTTTCCTACAGGGAGGGCATTTTTCTGTGGCCCTATTTTGCAATGTGATCTTATCATTGGCTATTTCTCCCACAGTTGGCTCATCACACCACGCCAATGTATCGTACTCCAGAGATGCTGGACCTATACAGTAACTACCCAATTGACGAAGGCATGGACATATGGGTAAGTTTGCAGTCTTAAATTCATTTATTTTTTTTAATGTGATTTTAAAGGTGTTTTTTTGGTGAGTCTTAATTGAAACAAATATATATGTTCACTGGTCTGATTAATTAGAGCCTTCTTTGTTTTTGGGGGTTTTTTGGGGGGGGAGGGGGAGCTGGATGGGAGATGATACTTTAAGGTGAAGCTTTGTGGTTGATTGCCTTCTTCAGTCCCTTCTATCCTCTCAAATACAAATGTATCTGGTACAAACTGAATGGACATGTCATTTAATTAATTAGTGCAGTCCATTGCAGGGAGACTTACTAACAGATGTACCTTCCATGCTCTTAACAAAGTTCTATTGTTCCTCCTGCAGATTCTTTTAAATTGTACATTTTTAACCAAAAAACCCTACTTGCTTCATATTGTGTGTCTGCATTACTTTTAAGTGAATTACTCTTGTTTCGCTGATAAAATAGCAATTTTAAAAAACAATTGGGAGAGAAACTCCAAAATAGCATGGAGATAATTGTCAAAAGTATTGTGATAAAAACTGGATTTAATCTGATAATTGTATCTACTCTCAGGCCCTTGGCTGCATCCTGTACATGCTGTGTTACGGCCAGCACCCATTTGAGGATTCTGCCAAATTGAGAATTATCAACGCCAACTACACGATACCAGAATCAGACAAGGAGTACGAAGTCCTGCATGAATTAATACGTGAGTAGAATCTGTCAAATGTTCATAATTGGAGTGGAGCTTATACTCTGGGATTTGGGCATTTCTCATGAGTCAACGGAGAAAAAAACACAAAGCTAGCCAGACCCCTGAAAGCAGTTGCCATTGTACACCTTGTGCCTATGAAGAGACACTAAGGTTGGTGTCTTGTGTCTACACCTTCATATTATAATTAATTGGGTGTAGTTTGCAACAAACTGTGCGCAAGCATTCAGTGTTTCCTGTATATGTGTATGAGTTGCGCACACTGGATCTTAAGAATTGTCATGCTGCACCATCTATTGATTGTGCACGGAGCTCATACTGTAAAATACACAAGTCTGGACCCAAAATATTGTGATTCTAAGTCAAATCCTAAATTACCAACACTGAATTATTCATTACCAGCAAGTACTCAAAAATGTGAAACCTTCCCTGTAGCTTACATTTATTTTTGTTTCTCTTACATGAGGGAGGTCACATGAACGGATTTTTCTGTAACCTAATCTGGCAATTGTTATTTCTGATGTGGCGCTCATGCACACGTTGCACACATCCTTAATTTGAATCGTTGTGATTGTCAATCTCCATCAGGTGCAATGCTGCAGGTGGATCCACGCAACCGACCGCCCATCTCTGTCATCCTGGCTCAGATTCAGGAGATTGCTGCAGCCCGGGTCACAGTCCTCAAGGGTCCGTTAATGTTTCTGACTAACAGGAATACTAGTACTACACCAGCCAGCCCTGCAAGGAGACCTACTGAAAACTCAAGTTAGTTTCACAGAAAAAATCACAAACAATTGATATGAACACATGGTTTTGACATAAGTTAAAACTCAAAGTTATGATCAGAGCTGACAAGAAACCATGCCACTGCTCTACCGACTTAGTTATCCACCTTTGCCTTGTCTTTGCTGTAGGAAGTTGAACAAATATTACTTCAACAAATATTACTTCATTTAACTGACATGGCTTATAAAATAGACTCTGTGTGATTTGAGATTGATTCATAATTAAAATATTTTTCTCAATCTTTCCAATCATTTCTGTCAATTTCTGTATTTATATGTCGGTGAAGGGCAAAAGCTCATATTGAATTTACATTGACCCAATGCAAAATTCCATCTTTCGAATACTTTCATTGTGGTACCCGCTGCTACATCAGATTCGAACCAGGAAACCGATCCCGTTAGCTCGGTGGTCGAGTGGTAAGACGTCTGCACTAGAAAGCAGGAGGTCGTGGGTTCGAGTCCCACCCGAGTGATTTTTTCCAACTTTCACTAGGGAGGTAACACACTGAGTATGCAGTGTTTATATGTCGGTGAAGAGCAAAACCTCATATTGAATTAACATCACCCCGACGCAAAACTCCATCTTAAAGAATAACTTCTGTATTGTATGCTTTGTATTTTGATGTGAAACCACAAATGTCCACATTGGCCAGAATTTAGAACTAGTGATGTAGTTGATACCATCACAAGTTATAACAATTCCTCACAAATCCATCGCAAGTCAACCACAAGTCATGGAGTGTCAAGCCTAGGCACAAGTTATTTAAAGGAACGGTGACAAAAGCATTCCAGATTGTATTGATCATCCCATGTGACTTGTGTCTGGAATTATGAATCGACTTATGATTTACTAAACCGCACTTGTAACCGGCTTGTGATGGATGCGACTACAGTACTGGCTAGAACCAGAAGTCCTGGAGACCAATCATCAATTGTTTACCTCAATCACTCAGGTAACTCTGCAGATTCGTCAGACTCTGCCAACGGGAGCAGCTTCCTAGGGATGATGAAGGATGGAGCAGGTAGTCTCTTCAAGAACATCAAAGACACGTCTAGTAAAATGGCACACACTGTAGCAAGGTAAGTGCGGTATAATTAAGCCTTAAGTTAGAAAACATTAACTGGAATTCATATTTCAGTGTGTGAATGTTACCCTATACAATATGGCTGGACCATGTTCCGAGAGAAAAAGTGCCAGTGCCTCATTTGTGAAAATCACTGTGATCTGTATTATATAGAGATAGGGAACTTATACTGCGGTATAAATACGAGCTGCTGTGGGGAAAATGGCACATATTTTCATAGCTTGTCTGATAACGTAACTTTATGTGTATTACACAGATGTATCCTTGCATTTTCTTTTATGAATATTTTTTGTTAGGAAAGCGCCTTGAGCGTCCATTTTTGACGGATTTGACGCTATACAAGAATTAGTTATTATTACTATTATTATTAGGAAAGGAATTCTAGACATAAAGTAGTGTTGATCAGAAACAAGAGATTATTAGAAATGAGAGTTATAGAATTCGGAAAGCTAGCCATTAGCCTTTTAATAAAGTTAACTAACGAGAGGTAAATTTTACTGTTCCCAGTTATGCCAAGGCTGAGTTGGACCTAAACTACATCACATCACGCATCATAGTGATGTCATACCCAGCCGAGGGTCTGGAGTCTGCCTACAAGAATCATATTGATGATGTCAAGACCTATCTAGACTCTAGATATAACAACCATTACTATGTCTTCAATCTCACGCAAAGGTTTTACAGAAAGGAGAAATTCAACAACAGAGTGAGTTTAAAACTGTGTTTGCTGGACAAATGCCCTGTTTAATCCCTATATTATATTAACATTGTAGTGTTAAAATTTTTTTTAGACCTGATTAGAAAATCTGTTGGATGCAATAAGCTTTTGTTTTCAAATTTATGTCACTAATAAACCGAAAAAAGTTAATGCGACAAGACTGATAATGGACTCCTTGCACAAGTACAGGTACTCCCCCCCCCCCTTCAATGGTTAGAACAATAATAGAACACCATGGTCCAGTGGTTACGGTATTTGACTCATGTACGATGGTATGCGGGTTTGAATCCTGCCAGGAACATGGTGTTTGTGCCCTTGGGCAAGGTCTATGGCCACAGATATACACAGTCCAAATGATTGCTTCCATTAACTAGCTGAACTGTGTAATGTGTTTTGTTTGGATGCAGGTGTTGGAGTGTGGCTGGGTTGCTAAGAGAGCTCCTAGTTTGGTTCTTCTCTATACTGTCTGTAGGAACATGTATCTCTGGCTTCAGAAAGATCCTAAGAATGTCTGCGCTGTCCACTGCCTTGTAAGTTGGCTTACCATTCACTGTACCATTCACTTTAAACCTGTCTGTGCTTGCCTTGTGCGTTCACGTCACTGTAGTATCCAGCAGCAGTGTCCAGTTCTACATTATATTTTGGATTAGTGAGACAATGTAAGGGAGCGTCTCAAAAGTCAGAACGTTCCCGTTCCTTGTTGAACGTTTCTTTTAGGAACATGCAACGCTCTGTGTTCCCAGCGTGTTCCCATCTGGAACAGACCGATCACGAGTAAGCATGCACGTGCATAGACCAACGTTCCCACGCAGGATCATCCCGTGTTCTCTGGGCTGTTCCCAGTGGAAACAATGCATGTTTCCAATTGGAACAAGCGATGTTCCCCGGTGGAATGATTTGAATATTGTAGTTGGGGGTTGTTAAACATTGTGTATGGGACAATTGTGGACGTCTCTGCTTGGGTTTGTGCTTGTGTTGGCTGTCCCACAGTGTAAACAGGTACCGGTGAGAGTTGGACTTTAACTGGGATATACTTACTTCTCATCATTACTCGCTCTTGATAAATTAGGGCAAAAATACTGAAACATTTATTTGTGAGGTTTTAGTATTATTGGTAGGAGCAGATAAAAGGCCTTTCTAATGATGCACAACATTGCTGTATATTAGGGAATCTTAGTCAAATAGATTAAATAGATGTTGTGCTTTTAAATGGCCACATTAACAAATGAAACGCTGTGTTTTCAGACCTTTCTTTGAATCCGTTTCTGAAGCCCGTGGTAAAGCCAATTGTGACGTGGTAAAATAAGAATCAAGCCTTGAGTACAAGGCCATCTTAAGTGATTACTTTTATCGAATTCTCGTTTTTACCTGTTTGCTCCAGGATGGCAAGGCATCATCTGCAACCATCATCTCCTCGTTCTTTGGTTTCTGCCGTTTCTTCAAGACGACGGAAGCTAGTCTGTATATGTTCACCAGCAAGCGAGGTCCACCTGGGGTCATCTCCTCACAGAAACGGTACAAAGTAGAAACACTTGAACCTCTACCTTCAGAATGCCCCTCAAACCTTACATATCCCTTGCTTTTGCTTTTACAAGATCTTCCCGACATTGCATCTACTGATGATTACACTGATCATTAAAGGCAATGGCCATCATTTGCAAGCAATTGCATTGTTGCTGATTCAAGGACCAACAGTACAATAAATCTGAAGCTGGTTATTAAATACCAACTTCAAATTAAGTTTTGCCCTTCACCGACGTTTAAACACTGTATACTCAGTGTGTTACCTCCCGAGTGAAAGTTGGAAAAAATCACTCGGGTGGGACTCGAACCTACGACCTCCTGCTTTCTAGTGCAGATGTCTTACCACTCGACCATCAAGCTAATGGGATCGGTTGGCTGGTTCGATCTGATGTACATAGCAGCGGGTACCGCATTAACTATGCTGTACCCGCGTGAAGGGCAAAACCTAATTTGATTTACATCACCCCGACGCAAAATTCCATCTTATAAATACCAACTTGTTGAAATTTATAGAAATCATACTGTTTGAAAACCCTAAAAATGCATCTTCTTTTTTTCTAGATGCAAAGCAGGGTTTCCATTTAAAGCCCTCCCCTTAAAAACGTTAATTAATCCTAACAGAACTCAACCCATCAAACCCCAACATGCCGTTTTGTTGGAATCTGCCACGATGGGTACAGTGCCCCTAAACTGACAGTCTTTTACATTGGGTTGGCACACTTCCAGAATCAAAGTCAGAAATATGTGTGTGCAGTTTCCCATATGGTGTTGGAATTTGCCAGGATGGGCATGGTTCCTAGTAAATCATGCTAGGGAATTAGGGTTAATGCATTTTGAATTACATGCTTTTGTGCCATGATCCCAAGTTTGTCACTCTCATTCAAGAAGATGTAACTGATTGCAAACTAAACTTTTGGTCAATTTGGGGTAGTATTTGAAAAACCTGATTTTTTCCTCGCGATGGTTTGGTCCTAACCATCGCGAGGAAATGATGATAATTCCACTTTTCTTGAAAACGACAGCATATTAGGTGTAATTATTTCACACGATCCGTGATCCTACTATCTACTCAAAATCAAGTAGGCCATTTCATAATATTTTGGCAGCATCATATTTGAATGTTTGCAAATGGTGTCCTTCACCTTTAACAACAGAATCACCCATACTTGTGAGCACCCACATGCCAACCCTCTTGGTCCGTACGGTGAGGTTGGCCACCTTTTTTTTTGGGGGGGGGTAGATTTTCCACTTTTATGCTATGTATGATATGTTTTTTCTCAGATACATGGAGTACATCTGTGACATGATGGATCCTGAGTATCCCCTCATACCCCATGAGAAACTCCTGAAGATCAAGACTGTGTCACTGATGCCAGTTCCTCTCTACAACAAACAGAGGTATACTTCCATCTTACTCTTAATACACCCATCTTGCTCTGAAACAAAAAATTAATGCAGTATTCAGTGTTGTAGTCGAGTCCATCACAAGTCAATCGACAATTATGGTAGGAAGTAACGGGAAGAACAATGACAAAGTAATGCATAGTTTATAACTCAGTTCATGATTGGACTAGCAACTGAATGACTTATGATAAGTATTTGATGGACTTGTGGGGATTCTTGATGGACTTGACTACAGCAGTGGCAGCGATTGATTCAAAATACCAAATGTTAGCAGTGCGGGTTTGTTTAGTGTCTTGTTTGGAAAAGTCCCTATTGTTCATCTGAACTTCAGAGGAATAAAACAGCTGAACCTCAGTGTAGAGGAGTGCAGGGTAGTTTTATAAGGGTCATTTTTATTTGTTACAATCAACACATTGCGTTTTGCTGTTTTATCCTTTGTTCTGATGTTATTCTGTTGCAATGTTTTCCAATTAAAGAAACGGATGTCGTCCATTTGTGGAGCTGTATATTGGAGAGGAGAGGATACTCAGTACGTCACAGGAATATGAAAAAATGAAGTGAGTAGAAGAAAACCTATCATTAAAAAAACCTGTCGTAAAGAACCTAGCTCTGATTTATACTGCATGATCTCTCGGATGACAAGGTGTGTTGGAACTGAAGGGGGCTAGGCAGGGTATATCACAATAACGGGGGATTAATTTCAAATTGTTTTCAATTCCAAATATTTCTTTCATTGTAGGGGTTATGTCGTGGAGGATGGCTGGGCCGAGATATCAATAGATAGAATGATCTATGGCGATGTCATGTGTATGGTGTATCATGCTAGGTCAACCTTTGGAGGCAAAGTCCAGGGCAAGGTGAGAGAGTATCACAAGAATTTTTGTGATACCATTTTTGTGAAAGTCGTCAAGCGAAAAGAAATCCATGGAGTAGAGGTGTCATTCCGTGTCAAATCACCCAATGGGTTAAATCCACTGATCTCTATATAAAGACTGGATAGCGGATATGCATACAACATTCACACAGTAGACTTTGCATATTGACCAATTCGCCCCCCGGTCTCACGAAGATGGCCGCGTATAATACGAACGTTCTACGCGTAAATACGCGCGCGTTGTAGCAACAGTTGACGCGCATTTTGGTCACGTACACATATTATGATGTTCTAAAAGGAACACATTTCCGTAGTGATTATTATTTCAAAACGCCGAAAAAGTGATTTGCGGCATTATAAAAGTAACCACTACGTTAGAAAAATTTTAGTAAACCTTGGTCAGTTGGTCAGTGGTGGTGGCCAAAATATAAGTCAAGTGAACCGCGACGTACGTTACAAAAGAAATCAAGCTGTCTATAAAGACGGCAACTTGTCCTTTGTAGATCACCAGCCGGTCTCACCAATATGGCGTCAAATTCGTACATTGTGCGGCTCTTTATTAGCTATCCAGTTTTTATATAGAGATCAGTGGTTAAATCCCACCCCCTTCAAACTGGTTCATACTTAGTGTATATGGTCATTTTGGCCAGAAAAGCTTAAATCTTAAGTTTTAGCGCCATCGTCCCAAAGGTTTTTGGCGCTACCGCCCGCCATGGTCAAAATGGGTGTGGCCCCCAATTTTCAAATGACCGTCTCCATAACCTGTGGGCCAAATTTGTTGATCTTGGTTGCTTTGGAAATGTAACATCATAAGGAATCCAAATTTACCATTATTTTTCATGTCGGAGAATATTGAAGTATGTATGGCCTTTGACTTTACTTTGACCTTGAATTTGACCTTGTGGATCACGTGACCTTGAGACAAACTTGGATGAAAATTATACCTCAACATATTATCTACAAAATATCCAAAAAGATGGGGTATAATATTTTTGGGGGGTTTCTAGCATGTCTCAAAGTTGGCATACTTGTTGCAAAATATGATATTCCTATGCATGTACGCATTTTAGGGACAAAAAGTCCGTGCTATAAATGATTACATTGCAGATATGGTCATTTGAAAACTGTTGGCCATGCCCATTTAGACCAAAATTGCCAACAATTGGAGGGCGGTAGCGCCAAAACCAATGGGCCGATTGCGCTAAAAATTAAAATTTCAGCTTTTCCGGTCTAAATTACCCCTTGCACTAAATATGAACCACTAATATGAACCAATTTGAAGGGGTGGGGTTTAAACTTTCAATTTTTTTGGGTGATATGACACGGAAGGACCCAGAGGTAAATTGGATATGATAATAGATACTTTTATGCGTCCAATTCAGTCTCATCGATTGCAGTGACCATGTACAGACTAGGCTTGCATTACCAAATTATGTGCAGACCATGGGGGGATTGGAAAAGTAAACTAGAATACGGCAAAATGGTTTCAATAGCTCACACTATCATTTTGAAAATCAAGAGATTGAGATTAGAAACTTGGACTAAGATGAAAGATGAAAAAATGAAAATTGATTTTAAGATTTTCCACATCAAAACCTGCAAGTTACAGGCAAACATATATTCATGTACATGCACAAGTACTTATCCACTTTTTCTGTAGAAGTTCTTAAGTTATTGATGTAAGTTATGCTTTGGTGCATATCAGTGATAATGATGTGACTTTAATGGAACAGGATTTTGATTGTGTATTCCCTCTGTCAGGTGACTGCTATGAAGATGTTTCAGTTCCAGTTCCATGCTGGTTTCGTGCCAGTTGGATCGCAAACCATCCAGTTCTCAAAGTACGTTCCATTAATTGTATGTTTCGAGTTAAAGACACAGCATTTAACTAATGTCGGGTTTTGCCCTTCACCAATGTGATATTTTAAAGCATTCTATGCTAAGTGCTAAAAAACACATGCTTGCTATGATGAGACTTGCTTCTCCTGCTTTCTAGTGCAGAAGTCTTAACCACTTGAACTAGTAGTTTGATTCTGAAATTAATTTCTATTAAAAACACATACCTCACCGTAGGCACTTATATAAGGCTTAAAAAGAATAACTTCCGGTTACCCGACCGACCCTATTTTTAGGCTGCGACCCTAAAAATTTTATCGACAATTCCAAAAAAAAAAAAAAAATTTGAATAAATACAAATAAAATCGGTCTTTTCTGTCTTCACAAAATACCTCTCAACAACCCTTTTGCATCCAAAAATGCTTGTATTTATTTGTTTTCTTACTTACATTCGCTTTTTTTCAAAAGAAACCTCCGTTAATCGTTATTACAAATTCGCTTCGTGATATAACTACTTCGCAATTTGATGTCATGCACGGTGACTATAATCACGTGGCGACGACTGGTTCCCGCCGCGCCGCGCAGGGGCCAATTTAAAAGACATAATGAAAATGCGGTAACCAGTCCATAGCTAGCTATGTGACCGATCAGTACAGTGCAGGCCACTGTCAACTGGTCGGATTCGACATCGTAAAAATGCCAAGAAAACACCGATGGAGAAAGAACATTTTTGCAAGTTAATTTACAGAATTGATCTAGCTTGTCTGTGTATGTATTTTCTGTGCTCAAGAGTTCATTTTGAGATCGCACTACTCGTATTTGGAGTGATACATGCCGCGTGTTTCCCGAAATTGTTGACAGTAAAAACAGGTCTGTCGGCCCATGGTGGGCCGCTCGCCACACACGCACGCATCACACACCTCGGAGTTTTGGCCAGCTCCCTGCGTCTTGACTAGCGTTGTGCATATGGTGCGAACGGCCTGAATTTTCCATTATTTTTTGAAATTATCGAACGTAAATATATTGACAATAATTAAAGGTAGGTTTTACTCACTTTTTGTTGCCATTTCGTGTATAGCTTTCGTAGTGCAAAGAAATAGTTCAGGCTAAAACTTCGCATATAATTGAATACCCCATTCAATCTGCATAAAAAAAATTGGCAAAAAAAAAAAAAATTCCGACCGACCGACCCTATTTTTGAAAAGCATGTAATCGGAAGCAGAACTATTTTTTTTTTTGGGCTAATATTGAATGGCTTTGAGGTGGGTACGAGAATATATAGCACAAGCTATAATATTGTTATAGCGAGCACAATATATTCTTGTATCCCCGAAAAAAAACCCATCCAATATTATTATTCATGTCAGGCTGACTTGATCCTCAATAAATAGATTTCAGGACACTCGTTATTTCACAAATGTCATTGAATAGTCTTTGCTTAATACCGAAGCAAATTTCGTGCAGCTCGCAGCTGCCATAGAGTACCGAATTCTAACGTCAGTAGTCTTTGTTCTGGTTCATGCGCTGGTTCGTGCGCTGATGTCTTCACCTACTTAAGCTATGCACGTGAACCAAAGTATGCGGCATACTTCGGTACTCTATTGTGGTTGTTGACAACAGTACATGTATACCCTGCTGCGCACTGCGTCCTCTTGCGACTGTACCTCATGCTACGCTCTGCTGACTGGTTGACAACTGTGAGTTACTTCGCTCATGATTGAGCGGGAACCAGCAAAATTTGTTAAAATGCCTGGATGAGGACTGTATCAAAAATAATATTGTCCTCATTTGGGTACTTTTACTGACATAACATTGCAGTCATCCGGGTACTGTTTACGAAAGCGTACAATATGCTGATTTACTTTTACCACTGGAAGCCTGATAAAAAAAAAATACTTGATACTAGCATATTTCTCAAAATATTAGATAATTATATACTTGGGACTGATATGGATTCAGTCATGTCAAACAGGCAAAATAATACAAGAAAAAAAGGTAATTAAAATTGAAAAAGGTGTTGTATCTGCCCTCTCTAACTATAACTGCAAAATTTATGGAAACACTTGGAAATCACAAGTTATGTATTGTATTTTCTAACCCTTGTAGGTATGACGTTGACCTGATGGAACAACCAGACAAGTTCCCCGACCTGTTCAATGTGACGCTAAGGATAGAGTTCCTGGATAGGACGGCCAAACCGGACAAGGAACCTCCATGGGCGACCTTTGAGACACAACGGATCACGCCCAAATACTGCTTCAGTAATAAGGAAGAACAGGATAGTGTGGTCTCACAGTTTGGTAAGTTGGCCCATCACAAGACCCATGTTGTTCAGAAAGTAGTGTAACAATCATTTACCAAACAGACCACAAGGGAAACAGGCAAAGGTGTATTATGTATGCACTTAGTCTGTTACTGTTGTAGTGAATAGGTCTCTCTCAAAGACGGCCATCTATGTAGGAGAACTGCAACTGCATGTTTTATGTAATCAAGCACTCATTGCGCAGTGTTGAAAATGTTTCAAACAGGCGCACTTGTTGCTTGAAATGTGCACGTGGCTGGTCTGTAGGAAATGACGTCATTTGAGAGAGACCTATTGATAATTGAAAAAGTGATCCAATACTGCAAGTAGCTTGATAACTGCTGATGTGATTCTGAGGCTACACAGCAAACAGCATTAGTACCCCCAGAACAAAGAATATTGGCAAAATGAGGAGACTGCAACCCAGGGCTTGAGCACTTAGTAAAGCACCGTAATATTGTTCTTGAGATCACAGCCTCTAGTCTTCCGGTATTCAGTATGTTTAATTCAATGTCGAGAACTTTAAATACATTGCTTGATAGTTGTGCTACAAAGGGATATTGTACTTAGATACAAATGGCTTTTTCTGAGATCTGTGCTGTATAAAAACAGCTTTTGCTCTGTGCATTGTACCTAGCTTCAGTAGGGGCTTTTGGTTTGCCCTACAGCCTGTCATTGCTGTATGGTTGCCATATGATAAGTCCCAAGATAAACCTAGCCTTCTGAAGACTGTGTTGCGTGGAGGTAATACAACACAAACAGATACGAGGCTGACATTCATCCAAAGAAAGACACTCTGTCTAAAGAACTGCCCTAAATCCAACAGTTTCCAAAATGTTTTTGTTCAGTGTAGCTGGTCACTCTGGGAACCAGTCTGTACAGTTCTAGACAAATCTCTCAGCACAAAATCAGGTTCAAATTATAACGTGTGTTGTGTTTAAGTTTTCAGGCTGAATTGATATTGGTTGACAAATTGGTTCTTTAATTTCTTGTTTTGGGCTTCAGGACACATGGATGCTAATGCGCAGGAGAGAAAAACCAAGGAAAGAACAGCTGGAGGGGCCTCTAAACAGCAACAGCAGGAGCAAGCCCAGCCAGATCCCACTGCTGCCACCAATAAGAAGGCAGAGTTCATGTCAGCAGTAAACTGGCAGGAAGAAGAGGCTAAGGAAACGCTCATTGAGTCAGATGAAGATTTCAGCGAGTTTGGTGCAGAGCGGGTTCAAGGACGTAATCCAGACCCTACTGCAGCAAACGGCGAGGGATCCAGTCATGATGATTTCTTTGCCGCTTTCGATCAAGAAATTGCTGGCGCAAGCTCAGAGGCACAGCCCTCACAGGAGCCACTGTTTGATGCCAGGTTCTCTCCTGTGCGGTCCACAAACCCGTTGCAAGCCTCTGATAACGTTGACTTGTTGAACATTGGTGGCAGTGGCCCACCTGAGAATGGGTCTATGGCAGCAGCAGGGGCAGCTAAACCTGATGTTAACAATGTAGACCTGATGAATCCAGGTCCATCTGATCCAAGTAACCTAGACCTTCTAGTAGACCCCATGGCGGCAGAATCACTCAAGTTTACTGGAGGCAGCCCCAAGCACAGTCTGTCAGGTGATGCCTTTGATCCATTCCAACAGCCTACAAAACCAGTCGGCAAAAATGCAACACATCCACCAACTCGTTCACATTCAGCAAAAGCAGCCCCCACGTCCAAACAAGAGGATTTCTTTGACCCATTCAAAGCTTCATCGACCAGCAACGGTACAGAGAAAGCCTCACCCCAGAAGCAGGTGCTTTTTGACATCGGTGATGGCGGTAACGACCTGTCGTTTGATCCATTCAGTAGTGGGAAGGGTGCACCATCAGATGGGCACTTGTCACCACCGCAAGTTGCCAATCTTCAAAACATGTCCAAGATGTCCCACAGCAGTGATAACCTGATGGGTGACTTTAGCAACTTAACAGGAGCAACACTGTCTTCGCCACAAAAGACCAGACCGACACTTAAGCAGGTACAAACAAGCATATAGCAGTTCATAAAAGCTTTAAAGCCAAGTCATGTGAGGCAATTTTCACTAGCACCTCAGATGCCACAGAGTGCACTGAGTGCACTGTATGCTATAGGAACCCACCGCAAGATCAAAGGTCATTTTCCAGTTAACACATATTCTGCAAACTTACACTTAATTAATATTTTTGTTGTTTTGTTGTTTTCCTCTTTTGTGTGATATTGCCCTTACAGTCCAGCTTATGTGTAGTAAACCCACTTTCTCACCACACAATAACAATTTCTTTCAAGCAGACATGGATTGACTTCACTCTTCATGTTTGAGACCCATCTTTGCTACTCTATAAAATGTTTTCAACTAAAACAGAAATCAGGCAGATTTATAATGCATTGACGTTTTTTCACTCATGTAATTTGCAGAGTCGTAGTGGGCCCAACTTGGCTGCAGCATGGGATGCCACATCCCTACCTACAACCCAGGCCACACCTATGGGCAGACCCCAGGGGATGGGAATGGGCCAGACAGCAGGTGGCACGCCCACACACCAAGCCAAGCCCACAGCCTCAAGTTCTAATGACCCATTTGCTGCTTTTGGTAAGAAGTGGTTGTATCAGTTGCACACTTTCAGCATTTTTGTCACAGCTGACGGATGTTGTTGCAAAACAGTTTTTTCAATTGCAAATAAGTTATTTTAAAGGTTGTAACAGTCAATGTATAAATCTTTCAATTGAGTTTCACACCAAAAAATAAACTTTGTTTTTTAATAGCTATTTTTCTATCAATGCAACCGGAATTCAATTTTGAATTAGGCATTAATAAAAAAAATTGGCTCATGTTTAGTTAGGCAAATATACTCCTTCAATTTTGTATTTATTTGTGGCCTGACAGTAATTCAGTTCTTGCAGGGTAGACTGGTTCCTGCCCCATCCTTTACTTTTGATAATGTGGGGACCGGAAACAGTCTACCTCTTGTTGTGCAGATCTGTTTTAATGTAAAAGTAATGTAAAGATGACCACAATAGAATAAAGCAGGGAAAGAATGTTGCATCCTGACGCCATTGTTTTTTTATCAAATGTTATCTCAATGAAGTCAGTCATTGCAGAAATATTAAAAAAAAGACATGATTGTTGGACTTGGAAACATTTCCAAGTTTGTTAGAAAATATTTTGAGAAGGCACTCGACTCTCCATAGGTACACAACCAAAGAAGTGGTGTCAGGATACTGCATTCTTTCCTAAAGCAGCTTTTTAATAAACAAATCATTTATAGGTCAAAATTTGTTTGGACAGAAAAGTCAAATTTGTTGGAAAGTTTCAGACAGTTCCTTGTCTGTTTCAGACTGTACCTTGTTGAAACTGTTTAAAAAAATGTTGCTTTTGCAATTTTCCCAATGGGCCTTATGCAGGAGTTGGCCATTTTTGTTTAGTTCCCTGTATGTATTTCATTAATTGTTAACTGTTGAATGGGATGGCGCCAGACTATTTATGCAGGCATAATGCAGCCTTATTTTACTTTTAGTTTTTATAAAACTGGCTTTTAAACAGTAGGGAATGTTTAATTATAAATTTAAATTATTCATTGAAGCAGACTGGAAATAATTAGTACTTAACTTGCTTTCATTTCTCTCCGCAAGTTCCAAACATTAAGATTTTACCTCACTTTCAATTCAATATGGCTCAATATTCGTGCATAAAGCCTGTTACATGTCGGTTATTTTTCTGAATTTTGGAATCACTATGCTACAAAAACACTGTGACAAGAATCAATTTTTACTTGTGTCTGTTTCAAAAGACACACGATTATTCTCTGAAAGCAAATTGCTGAATTATTTACAACTCTTGCCTTATTTTCCTTCCAGGGAATATTGGCTCCAACGTTCCCCAAGGAGGAACAAGTTCCCAGTCCTCATCGTTCGGTTCCTGGCAACCCAAAGCTCCTACTAGCCATGGTGTATCAGCCTCGCCTAAACGTCAACCCAACCCAGCACCCCAAGGGGCCAAAATACCACCCCCACAGACCCAACAGCAGCAAGCCAAGCCCAACTATTATGCTGGTGGGTTCTCTAGTGTGATTGGAGGGCGTGAGGAGAGAGGAAAACGCACACCATTTGCTACAGCAGGGACTGGTGAGTAACAGTCAACTGCAGTACTTTACCGTGGGTTGGATTGGAGGGGCTTAAGAGGAAGAGCTTAAGGTTTTTCAGTCGTTTATTTTTTTTAAATGCTTTTCAGAAATTGCCAAGGTTTCTTGTCAGTGACAACAGGGCAGAGTGGTTACTTTCCTCGCCTTCCACTGCTATGGCCCGGGTTCGATTCCTGCCCCGACCACATGTGGATTGGGCTTTCAGTCCCTACCTGATTCTGTTGGTTTTCCCCAGAGTATTTTTCTGGGCTTTTCCTCCCACCTCTAAAACTAACTTCTTCTCATTGTCTGTACTCTACAGGTTCCTTCAAGCTTTCGAGCTACAGGCCCAGGGCACTTTTGAGGAATCCTTGGTTTACCAGAAAGAAATAAAAGAAAATAATAAACAAATAACATTCTCATGGTTTCACAGAATATCTACGAACACAAACAGTAACTGCCCAACTGTACAGAATTTCAAGGACTAATTCTTCACCATTTGCTGGGTTTTTTTAATGATCATATAATCGGAAGTTACGTTCACTGCGCTGCTGTGAGCCTGCACACCTCAATTGTTCACAAAACCAAATTAATAAAAAAGAATCTTGCTTTCTGTTCAATTCAGGGCCGACAAAGAGAAGTGACTTTGAAGACTTACTGTCATCACAAGGGTTTGAGTCCACATCAAAGAAAGATGAGCATAGAACAATAAATGACATGAAGAAGGAAGACTTGGTCAAAGAAATGGACCCAGACAAACTCAAGGTAAGATGTGGGAATGATTCTAAGTAAAGTCTGGCTGAGCCTATGTGGCACGTTAAGCTGGTGTTTCCCTTGCGTGGAATGACTGAGAATATTTCTATTTCTGTGGATAAGCCTAAACTGCAATTGCATCACATGGTAGTCCCCAGGTGTACCCTGGATACTCAACCAATTTCGGGACACAATGTAATTTTTGTTTTTACTCAGTCTTAGTTTCGCGAGTCGTGGGCCCACGCCTCTACATGGACACGGGAGTCATGGGCAGTAAATCATAGGCCTTGGGTTTTAGCAGTGTTCAATCTCTCCCTTCCCCCCCCCCCCCAAAAAAAAATAAAGTAAATAACAAAAACACCCCCCCCCCCCCGAAAAAAAGTATGTCTGCAAATAGCGTCCCCTAGCATAGCACAAACTTTCAATTTTCAAAGTTGGAGAACACTGATTGTTTGAAAAGAGGTAATTAGAGCATTCAGTAGTTTCAACTATTTTGACATTTTTGACACAGATTATGGAATGGACACAAGGGAAAGAGCGTAACATCCGAACCTTGATATCCAGTCTGCACTCAGTACTATGGGATGGAGAAACTCGATGGAAACCAGTAGGAATGCATCAGTTAGTCACTCCTAATGAGGTAAGATGCTTAGGGTTGAGATGAGGGGAGATGTAGGGGGTAACATCCGAACCTTGATATCCAGTCTGCACTCAGTACTATGGGATGGGGAAACTCGATGGAAACCAGTAGGAATGCATCAGTTAGTCACTCCTAATGAGGTAAGATGCTTAGGGTTGAGATGAGGGGAGATGTAGGGGGTAACATCCGAACCTTGATATCCAGTCTGCACTCAGTACTATGGGATGGGGAAACTCGATGGAAACCAGTAGGAATGCATCAGTTAGTCACTCCTAATGAGGTAAGATGCTTAGGGTTGAGATGAGGGGAGATGTAGGGGGTAACATCCGAACCTTGATATCCAGTCTGCACTCAGTACTATGGGATGGGGAAACTCGATGGAAACCAGTAGGAATGCATCAGTTAGTCACTCCTAATGAGGTAAGATGCTTAGGGTTGAGATGAGGGGAGATGTAGGGGGTAACATCCGAACCTTGATATCCAGTCTGCACTCAGTACTATGGGATGGGGAAACTCGATGGAAACCAGTAGGAATGCATCAGTTAGTCACTCCTAATGAGGTAAGATGCTTAGGGTTGAGATGAGGGGAGATGTAGGGGGTAACATCCGAACCTTGATATCCAGTCTGCACTCAGTACTATGGGATGGGGAAACTCGATGGAAACCAGTAGGAATGCATCAGTTAGTCACTCCTAATGAGGTAAGATGCTTAGGGTTGAGATGAGGGGAGATGTAGGGGGTAACATCCGAACCTTGATATCCAGTCTGCACTCAGTACTATGGGATGGGGAAACTCGATGGAAACCAGTAGGAATGCATCAGTTAGTCACTCCTAATGAGGTAAGATGCTTAGGGTTGAGATGAGGGGAGATGTAGGGGGTAACATCCGAACCTTCATATACAGTCTGCACTCAGTACTATTGGATGGGGAAACTCGATGGAAACCAGTAGGAATGCATCAGTTAGTCACTCCTAATGAGGTAAGATGCTTAGGGTTGAGATGAGGGGAGATGTAGGGGGTAACATCCGAACCTTGATATCCAGTCTGCACTCAGTACTATGGGATGGGGAAACTCGATGGAAACCAGTAGGAATGCATCAGTTAGTCACTCCTAATGAGGTAAGATGCTTAGGGTTGAGATGAGGGGAGATGTAGGGGGTAACATCCGAACCTTCATATACAGTCTGCACTCAGTACTATTGGATGGGGAAACTCGATGGAAACCAGTAGGAATGCATCAGTTAGTCACTCCTAATGAGGTAAGATGCTTAGGGTTGAGATGAGGGGAGATGTAGGGGGTAACATCCGAACCTTGATATCCAGTCTGCACTCAGTACTATGGGATGGGGAAACTCGATGGAAACCAGTAGGAATGCATCAGTTAGTCACCCCTAATGAGGTAAGATGCTTAGGGTTGAGATGAGGGGAGATGTAGGGGGTAACATCCGAACCTTGATATCCAGTCTACACTCAGTACTATGGGATGGGGAAACTCGATGGAAACCAGTAGGAATGCATCAGTTAGTCACTCCTAATGAGGTAAGATGCTCAGGGTTGAGATGAGGGGAGATGTAGGGGGTAACATCCGAACCTTGATATCCAGTCTGCACTCAGTACTATGGGATGGGGAAACTCGATGGAAACCAGTAGGAATGCATCAGTTAGTCACGCCTAATGAGGTAAAATGCTCAGGGGTTTAAACTCATTTGGTTGAATCATGTCAGAACTCAGTTGGGGTTACTCCTGTAGAGAAGCAGAAAGTGTTAAGATCAGCCGCACACAGATACTTGGCAAAATGCAAGTGGGAGTTATTTTAGCTATAAAGTTTGACCTTTTTTTGTTCACTGCAAACCTTCTTGTGTACCAAAAGTATACTTGATCAGGATTTTTTTAAAAAGCTGAACAAAGAAATAGACTAGAGCGGGGTTTGAATCCCGACTTTTGGATTGCTGCTCCAGTGCTCTACCAACTGAGCTGTCCAGCCCTATGTTGGCGGTTCCCTAATCTGTCAACGTCTTTGTTCAAGGAGCACTAGTCAAAAGCCATAAACCATCTAGCCAAGGATCAAACCCAAAGTCACAATGCTGGCAACACTAGAAATGGGGATCACTCAGATAAGCTACAGCTGTTTTTTTTTTATTTGAAAATTTGCAGCTGAACTCTGTTTTTAGCATGTGTGTCTTTACTTACTTCCCAACAGGTAAAGAAGTTGTACAGAAAGGCCTGCCTGTGTGTCCATCCTGACAAGCACGCAGGCACACCTAACGAGGCCATGGCCAAAATGATCTTCATGGAGCTGAACGACGCATGGGCAGAGTTTGAAGAAAGTGGGATGAAATCATTATACTAGCCAGTAAGCCACCCTGCCCCACCCCTATCTACTCCCACAGCCCCACCCCACTTAGGGGACAGGTGGCATTCCCATTCTGGCTTGTTTCTGAATTGAACAGCTTTGAGATTTTTCCCTCAGTGCTGAGACAAAGATTCATTCATCAACAGCAAAACCAAATCTTTTGTACCTGAATACCACATAATACATGTAGTTTGTATTTGTCAAAATGTATTAATAGATTTTTCTGATTTTGTTTTTTAATATTTTGGATTATGCCATTTCGTTTTTTTAATTGTCATGATTTTCTGTAATAGTTAGTTTCAATTTGCTGTTGATATTCGTTATTAATGAAACATTCTTTTGTTTACTGCCAATGTGAAGAATAGTGACACCTACTGCATGCGCCGCCAATGTCAAGATGTAACTTTGTAAAGTATTGAAAGTGTGCAAAACCAAATATCATTATTCAAGAAATCCCTGGCAAAAACTAATAAATAAGTATCCCACTAGTATACCGAATGAACCTTGAACCTCGTGACTGTAAACCCAAGTAGATCCTACTCTGGTTGTGCAATCGTAAAAAAAAATCCTTGTAAGAATACCAGTTAATGCGGGATATTTGTGTTCTGAATTCAGGAGAATCGCCTACATTTTTTTTTTGGATGTCATGTCGAGGATAGACTCAGGCATGCAACTTTTCCTCAGATCAGCTGATTTCCTCTTTTTTTACTTCCCATGTGTGCCATTGAAAATAGAAAAACACTGTACAAAGTCATGAAAAGATTTGAATTTCCTCTTGTTTTGCGGCTTCCCAGTTGCATGCCTGGATAGACTCCATGCAAAGTGCCCCTCTCTGAGGAATGGTCTTTGTTGCTCTGTTGTACACATGTGGAGACACTGTGTACTTTTGTTGAATTGAAAAACCTGTCCTCAGTGAGGGCGCTCTTTGCAAGGGCTCTATTTGCTTAGAAGTGTGGATCTGGCTTTTAATTCAGTGTCAATTTGAAGGGTTACTGTAGTGCTTCTCAGTAGTTGTCTTCTGTATAAAGGATTTTTTTTCCATATTGTATCACTGTCCCGTCCTTTATGCATTATCCATGGTCAAGTGTGCTGTAAAGAGACAGAATATGGCTCCTGCATTCATCATTTGTTTAACGACGCTGAGAAAAGTTATCCTCATGATATTCATTGAGCAGCCTGCAAAATAGTAGTGGTTCCTGGTGATTTGATTGTGCACCTAATGCAATACTTTTGTGTAACCTGTGTCAATGAATTGGAAACTTGGTTAGACCAGTATGTCTTAAGCATAGAGCACATTGTTGCTGTTCCATTCAAGTATTCACACTTAAACTGATTATACCTGATTTGTATGTCATTCCTTCAATATTTCTGTCGGTATATTTAAGAAAACGGACTTTTAAAAAGAAAGCCATTTTAGAGTTTATGAAATATAAGGGCTGTTTATTATCACTATATGAAAAAACAAAACCAAAACAGTTTTTAAGGTTACAATCAAAAGGTTTCCCTGCAGTGATTTAAGTAAGATTTGAGGCTTTGCATGGTGGAGGTACTAATGAATGAAAGGTTTGAGGAAAAACCATGTGGGAATAATTTCTCAACTAAGAGAATGGTTCTGAAAAGAACCAGAGGTATAAACTCGACGTTCCTGTCAGTATGAGCATACTGACCGGAACGTCAAGTTTATACCTCTGGTTCTTTTCAGAACCATTCTCTTAGTCGAGAAATTATTCACACATGGTGTTTCCGCAAACCTTTCACTCATTGCAGTGATTTAATTTATTTCTTGAATAGTGAGTTAAAAATCTTCATCTTTTTTCAAGATGAAGGTGCTATACACCCCTCGGGTGTTAATAATGCCATATCCCACATCACAGCAGTCAACAATTGTTAAATTTCATTCTATGACTACTATCTGAATGACAATCAGACTAATGAGTAAGGGTAATAATATAACACTTTGAAGGCCATTAAACCAGGAAGCATTGTGAGTGCATTTTAGTTGCTTAGATACAATATGTAAGTTGTGTAGCACCTTCCTAAGGTCATCCCCAGCTGAACCAATTACATACTCTGATATTCTATAATATTCTGTGATAATGTGGTCTGAAAATGTCTCCCTTGGTTGATGCAAATTAGAGTTGGTGTTCGATTGTTATAACACATTGCTGTAACCCACATTCATATACAGTGAGTGCATGTATTTGTTCATATTGAATGTTCTTCACTCAAGGTTGAGTGTGCTATAATGATACAACTCTGACCTTTATCTAAAATTTTGGTGTAAAATGGTGATTGTAATGGGACAAAGTGGTATTTTTTGTGTCACTTCATTGTATACAGATCTGGCTGTACTCTTCAAATCTATGTAATGTGCTTCTTTTAAGTTATGCTCCAAGTTCTGCAACTTTTGACATTCACATTGGATGTTTATTTACATGTGCAGCTTTGCAATCAAACAATATCCTTCCTTAGCACAAGATAATTGACACATTTATATACATGTATATTATTTAATAGTAACTTTGTCACCTGATGTAACAATAAAAGTATTACAAAGTTATATTGTAAATAGGATAGTTATACATTACATGTATTATTAACAATTGGAAATTGCTCTTCCACCTATTAAATGCATATATGCAGGTCACACTACTTTAGGGTTTTTTTTTTACAACTTATCTACCGGCGTGTTTATATTTATCAACCAAAGTTTTACGACAAACAAATTATACTGTGAAATTGTACAAATGGCAGAAGTCTTGCTAATGCATGCTTTTGTGTAAAATTTTCTCCTTAATCGCTACATTCCAGTATTACACCGCCTGATATTTAAGTTTTAACATCAATTACTTTTATGAGGCAAAGTTATACAAATGCAAAATGATTGATAGAGACCCTGTACTTTGACTTACTAAAAGCCTGTAGGATACACATTTCTGATTTTTGAAATGTGACACCAAGAGTTCTGCCATGTTCATACAGGAAGATTCCAGACGCAATTTCGTGGAGCTCGCTCAGCAATGAGCATACAATATCGCTGAGTAAATGTTGGTGCTAAGCATGATGTATCACATGGCATTTTGGCTAGCAATCTATTTATTTTTGCATGGCAAATACAAGTATGCTTGTGCTTTGCAGCTTTATAAAATGGCCCTTGTATTGTTTCGGGCTGAATTAAATGAACGGTTCGTTAAAACTCCCTTGCAAATGTCCTATGAATACATACCATAAGCATGATTGAATAATGAATATATACATGTACCATGGCTGTAGCAACTTCCAACTCTTTAAGAACATAAATTTTTTTTTTAGATTCTGGGCTTTCAAGCAGGCATTATGGAAAATTAAATACATGTATATATGTAAACTGAGGATCTCTAGATACATGTAACATGGTTTACCAGCTACTGAGAAAAAATGAGAAAGGCGTAGACTGATTCGGCGACAGCCATTTTCTGAGGTGGCACCAGGTCAAGCTTGGGTAATTGCACTCTGGGCTCCTTGGACCAATAGGGTTACCAAAATACCCCCGCC